TATCACCAATATGAAGCAAACTTAAAGTTATGTTGTGAGGCAGCTGGTGGATGCAGCTTTTTTAGAATTATGCATAACTGTAGCTGTGGCTGGAATAACCCAGGTGGGCAGGAATATTATGGTAATCCCTTTATTCATGGTAAGAGGAGTGCTGCAGAGGATCAGGCATGCATGCTAACAACTGAATATGAATAAAGTTTCCTCTGTGAGAAACCTCCTCTGCTCAACCTGATACTGCGTTTCTTTTAAGTCTCTGATAACTGAACTGAAATATTACTGACATAAAGCATGCTGCAATACACCGACATGTTAAGCATATCAAAGTTTACTCCTGTCAGCTTTTAATATAAGTCTTGTGTCTGTTATCATTATTGTTAATGTTTATGTGAATATACAAGCTGCTCAACTCCAACTGCTTTAATTAACATAATCAGTCAGGGCGCTGGTGGCCTAGAGGTTTGGTTCGTGCATGCCAAGTACAGAGGCTGTGGTCCTCCCTGAGGCAGGAGGACCAGGTTCCAATCCAATATGTGGTTCCTTTTCCATTTGTCGTTCCCCACTCTCTTTAACACAGTCCTACAGTCCACTGTCCTATCTCTCGCATGAAGGCACAAAAAACCCCAAAATAAATCTTAAAAAAACAAAACATAATCAGTCCTCCCATGTTATCATCACTAACCCCAACCCTAACCCTAACCATGCTCACTTTTAACAATATTTCTGCCATTGTAACCATAAATCTGCCTGGTAAAAGGACTTTTTTTTGCCACTGTTACTTTGCTAAATGTTGCCAAGTGCTTTGCTATGATGTTGAGTCTTCATGATTAATATAGCAAAGAATTCTGTCTAGACCTGCTCTGAAAGAGTCTTGAGATAACATTTGTGATGAGGCGGCGCTTTACAACTAAAGATGGATTACTTTTAAACTCACCGATTCTGCAGCCAGGGTTAGGGCTAAACCCTTCTTGATACAAAGGTGATGGATCAAATGTCTTAATCCAATAAGTTAAATAGAAGGGAATGCTTTTAGATTGATTTAGTCAAAATGTATTAGAGAGCATTCTTTAAACAGATTTGTAGGCTGCATATGTTCTTTATTATTTTAAACCATGGAATCATGAGCCAATGTAAAAGCTGATTTACATAAAGACATCATTGCTGGACTGATTTAACTTCCAACTTTAAAAACTAACATTGTCTGTAATGTCATGTTTGCAGCAAGATTATGTAATTCAACTTTTATGGAATCTTCTGTTTTACACAGTGTAATATTATACAACATTTTTAGTTAGTGGTAAAGAGCTTCTATACCAATAGGCGATCATTTGTGCCCTGCAGGTTCTGGCTAGCAGTCCAAGAGCTAAAGAAGCGTCCCATCAGAGAAGTTCCAACTCGGGTTCAGGAGATCTGGCAGGAGTTTCTGGCCCCCGGAGCGCCCAGTGCCATCAACGTGGACTCCAAGAGCTACGACAAAACCACCCAGAATGTCAAAGATCCTGGACGCTACGCCTTTGAGGATGCACAGGTACGAAAGCTCATATCACATCCAAGGCCTGTTGGGGATTATGCACAATATAACACAGCGTCATCTTCACGCCCTTCAATCTATGACTCACTTTTCTTTTTCTAACTTCTATTCAGCACAATGTGGTACCTATGCCGGATGCTTTTGTACATCATTTTAACACAATTTGCCTCCACAACAGGAACACATCTACAAGTTGATGAAGAGTGATTCTTACAGCCGTTTCATCCGCTCCAGTGCCTACCAGGAGTTATTACAGGCCAAGAAGAAGGTGAGAAAGAAATGCTCAAATATTTTAAATGAAATTTCTTGGTATGAAGCCTAGGAGAAGTATCATTCAGAACTCTCACAGCATTTTCTTTGACAATAAAAGGTGGAAATCATTGTAGTTTTTGCAAAACGGGGTGTCTGTTCCTTTTATATGGAAAGGACCCTAACTCCTAATATAACAAGCTATTCTGTTGAAGCTACTGGACAGAGATGTTGTTTAAAAAAAAAGAAAATTTCAGTCCTATAGATTTGATGATCTAATTATGTCGTCTGTTACTTGCTACATTCTGCTAACACAAAAATCTAAATACAGAATCAAGTACATGTCGTTTTCTAAACAGTACTATATCTGCCATGGATCTATTTAGCTGGGTGCATGTGTGGTAGAATTTCCTTAAGGTGCAAACCATGTCAAACAAAATGGCACCGTCAGCCTGGAATACTAATGAGGAGAGAGTAAGAGTAAATACAACGTATTCACAGTCTGTGTCAGGTGTGGATGATGGAGTTGCTGTTACAGGACTCCTGTCAGGCTTGTAGGAACCATTATGACTAGCGGAGACACTGAAGCTGTCACAACACGATGAATAATTCAGATTTATTCAGGTGTATTTATGTGATTTAAACCTGCTCGGTCGCACACCTCCTACACTTCGTCTGTGTGTCATTGTGTCAACAGACATTTTAAGAAATGAGCAAATGTTTTTTTGGATCAAGTATCATTTCAATGTAGTGAAGGGTTTTGATTGATTTTTTCCCCCCTTTCTAATATGACAGAAATATATACTTTCTGGTTTTACAACTTTACTAAATAATATAATTTATATATGTATTGTCCCTTTAATCTTCAGTATGGTCAAATTAATTCACCTTATGTGTCCTTTTGTTCCCTACAGAAAAGTAAGAACTTGTTCTGAAGGATCTTTCCAGGTAATGTCCAATATTTATGCATATTGCTTTAAACACTTCATAACCATGCATTTAACATTGTTATCTTGTTTCCTCACACAGTGATAGTACTAATTACTACATTTGTCTTGGTGTGACCTCTTTTGTAAGCATGCTTGCAGGTTATAAAACACAAGTAGTGCAAGTAATGTTACCTTAGCATTTAGCTCAAGCTTTAATGTTTACATGCTTATCAAAATGTAGAGTTCCTGCAGCTTTTCCCATGACTTTTTTTGCGAGAAAAGAAAAACAGGATGTACACACCATTTATTCTCTCTTTACCTCCCTGTCTTCTCCATTTGTCTCTTTTACCAGCGCAGGGGAAACCACTAGCATCCAAGAGGCTGACCAGTCTTGTGCCATCATGCTAAAATCAATGCCATCTCTCTCTCTGGGACTTAGAGAGGGAGACCATCTCATCTCTTCGTCATCATTGTCTGTCCATGCGCGCTCAGCTCAGCAGGCCGACGAGCCGAGCCGGGGCCGTCTGTTCGTCTGTTGTCCACCGGATGTTGCATGTCCATGGAGAGGATGCTCCTTCTTCTCTCTCCTCTTACAGTACCTGATATCTTTCCAGTATTCTCCAAAACGAAAAGTCGCTGCTGCTGCTGCTGCTGGACTTGCGAGGACACTGAAACAGACTGGCCAGACGAAAAATGTCAAATCCTTCTTTCCGTCATAAGTGCTGGATAGAAGCCCAATCTCTCACTTCCAGCTGAAACAAATGATGTCAGAGAGAAAAAAAAAACGAGGGGGGGAAAACATAAAAGAAAAACATAAAACATCAACTTAAACCGATAAATCTAACCAGTGTCATTGCTTTACTGAGGTCCAAGGTCACAGATACTTTGTCACGCTATGGGAAGTGTTGTGCAGAATGAATATACAATATATATACAAGAATATATTATGATTATAATTATGATTATTTATTGTGCACTTATTTTGCTTTGCATTATTTTATTACACTACAATAAATAGCACATATGGTTTTCATTGCACTTGTAAAGTCACAATTCAGAATGACAAAAACGCTGTCTCTGTCTGATGTAGAACATGATTCTTTGTTATTCTCTCCTGCATTTATTTTTATACCATATTTAAAGACACTTTTACTTACTTGTATTATTAAAGTTGGCCCTCTATCTGTAACATTTGCTTGGGTTTGGATTTTTATTTTACATGAACACACAAAGATCTAAACTATCATTCAGGATATACTGATCTAATTGGATATGGTGCAGTGCGGCTTCAGTCTCCCTGCCCCCCGTACTTGGATCCAAAATAAAGAGAGCCGTCAAGAATGAGCCTAAATTTAAATTGATTTCTTTGGAACCCGAATTGAAAGTGTGGCCTACTAAATAGCCTGATATTTTCGAGTTAAGCAAAATGTATTTTTACATCGTTTTATCTACAGACCTTTGAATAAACTATCCAGTGAGTATATCACTGTTTAAGTTAATAAGTGCAAATGCAGACAGAGCCTTGTGTCCCTCATAAGGCCCCCTAGGGTGGCCCAGAGACCTTAGATTGGGAAGCAATGGCTTACAGGAATCCTTCAACAGTTCCTGAAATGTGTACTTCTCCTGTCGACCACTAGATGGTGTTAAATCATTTCCTTGCAGCAATCCTCCTCTTCAACCACCACTGTCCTTGTCAGACAAATGAAGTCTTGTCATGCAAAAGTGTCATCATGCTCTGGTCTGCTGAAGGGGTTATTGTTCAGATCATTCACGTCTGACGTTTTTGCAGTTTCTGTTGATGTTTCATCTCTTTGATGCCAAGAGTCGCGTTCAGATTTTTCAGTCTCTGATCCCAGTGGTCAGCTTAGCAAAACCCACAAAGCAGACAAACAGTATTGTCTCTGCTGCATCAAGGAGTGTGAGTTGTGGCATTTTTCAAATACTTCTGTTAGTGTAGATGCATATGATGATTTATGGATGTGGAGTTATGAATTGTGATATGATGTGGTCACAGTGTCAAAGAGGAAGGATAATGAAGGGATTTCTTTTGTAGGATATCAATGTAGCTGCATAATTTTGTCATTTATTGTCCATGGAGGCAAAATGCCATCTGATTCCTGGAAATGTAAATTCAAATGTCAAATGCAGGAAAAAAGGTAAAGAAAACTTTAAAAGAGGACAAAAGAGAAGCTGATAGGTTTGTCATAGATGGGTGGGCGTTTTAATAAAAGATAAAGAAGAAAATGTATAAATAATCAGATAGAGGCAGACACAGGGAGCAAGGGAGACATGAAATAAGGGAAGCCTGGTTTGATTCACACAATGACCAGGACCAATAGGAGAAACCCTCCCAGTCTTGAGGAGGAGAGGGGGTGGTGGGGATTCAAACTAAGGCAGGCTCCACTGTGACTCAAACACTTTCAAAGACAGACTACAGACTATCTCCACGGCAAGAAGATGTGTGACTGAAACCTGGAAGGGCTTCTTTCTTAGACTTAAAGCTAAAACAAATAGTTAGTCTGAGTGTGAAAGTAATAAAGAGTTACATCCTGTCCTCGAAGATGGAAAGCTGAGTGTGTCCGGGACTTTGAATCTTCTGTGGTTTCGGGGGGGAAAAAAAAGAGGAGCAAGGACAAGGAGCCTGAGGATACTACAGATTATGTTGCCATGGAAACTGAAACCTGGAAGCGGACGCAAGGACCACTGAAGGTGGACGGCTTCCCTTGACTGCACACTTGACGCGTTACTGTCCCTCTTCGCATTGTGGTGAGAGGTACATGAACAGGACTTTATTTTTTACAGTGATAACACCCATTTAACCCTTTTAGACTGAAGTCAAGAGACCACGAGCCTTCTACTGTTTTATGAGTTGAATAAAACCTTTTAAAGTAATGTTTAGAATGATGAAAAGTTGACAAATTGTTGGTTACAGGTAGTATGACCCAGTTCTAAATGTACGTCTTGTGATTTAGGACATTTCACAAAGCAGGATAACATCAATTGACCACATGATTTAGTACATTTTTACATCTGCCATCAGGATTTTCCAACAATATAGCTTTAAATTCTATTAAAACTGACTTCGTTTGCAATATATGCATGAATACAATGCTTATGTGTGTAAAAGTACCATGTACTTTCTGCATGTAGTACAAATAGTGCAGATAAGTATGTGCTGGCTCGACATATCCCACACCAGCACTTCCAAAAAGTGGGCAGTAAGAGCCTGACGGAGAGATATTAAGGCTGAGTGATTCAGTGACTCTCTGAATGACTAAGCACACAACCATGTAATTCGACCAGCCGTAGTTGTGCAGCTATTTAGTAGTTCTGCCAGCAGCAAGGGTTTGATTCCCACTGGGGGCCACCCAATCGTAAAATATATGCCTTTAAGGTATTGTAAGGTGTTCTGGATAAAGTGCTAAATGACTATAATTAGTGGCTGGAGGTTTGGGGGAATTAGTGCTGTGAGTGAAAGAATTAGTGAGTGATGACAGGATGTTGAACAGTGCATAAAGATGATATGAGGAGTCATTTTCAAGTGAATAGAGATAATAGTGTAATTTAAAGGGAGCTTGTATGCTGTGTTTCCAAAATAATCTTTTTTTTCCCCTTTTCCTTCATCTAAGCAGATGTACGTCCTTGAGTTTATGTAACATGAATGTATGTCTGTTTAGTCATGTGTATGTTGATGTGATTCCAAGTGGGTGTGTGAATGTGTGTGCGTGTGTTCCTACAGTATGCGTGCAGTGAACGGTGGGGAGTTTGCCTTCTGATCCTTCTTAGAGCCGTGGTGACTGCACCACCTTGCACAGTCCTCTCTGATGTCAAAGCGGATTTAGCACACAGACACATTACACTTTCTTTAGCAACAGAAAACACTTCATCGTAAGCCTCTAAAGATAGTAAAAATGGTGTTTGAAAGAAGCCTTAGTGATACTCTTAACACATGTAATTCACACATGTTCAGGTACTAAGAAAACTTCTGAGGAAAAGCCGATTAAAACGGCTGAAAACAAGGCTGGATTTAAGCCAGTTTGTTGCAAATTTTTCTGTTAAAATTAAGCTCTTTTTTTTTTAAACCAACAGCAAACCTGATGGTGCACCAGTCATTGCAAACTCATGCTGTGCAGCCAGAACTCGGTTCAAACCCACAGAACTTCGTTTTCAAATTTGAGTAGGGATCCTAAAGTTTCCAAAAACACCAAACTGATTTAAAATGACGTTGATGACATCAATAAAATCTGATTTGATGTAAGGGTAAAGCTGTATGTGGAGTCTCGAATACGCCACTGTATATGTGTATTTCCACAGAAATATACAGCTTCAATAAATATCAGGGATAAGCTGGAAGAGAAAATGTATAATAAAGCTATTTCACCCTCCATAAAGATATTTAAATGGAAGACTGTAAGTTAAGGAATTAAACTAATAAATCTCTCCTTAAGCGCAAGTGTACGGTGCTGTTCACCACTGCAGCTAAGTAGTGCCATCCTAATCTGAAACCAGAAATGCTGTATTATCATAGCTTTTCTAATTGGCCCTCATCTTCCACTAAAGCACTTAATGTTGCTCGCCTCACATTCTTGCCAGCACTTAGCTCGGAGAGCATAATATATGGGCTGCTAGTCATTATCAAGATGGATTGTGGTGACAAATGGCTGCCCAAACCGCCTTCAGCAGCCTCCTGGCCATGTTGGCATTAGACACATTTACAGAGAAAAGCCCCTGAAAGGACTCCCCCCCCCCCCCCCCCCACCCTTCCTCCTAACTGTTAATGAGCCAACAGCCGAGCACAGTTTGGGAAAACAGAATCCGCAAATGCAGATAATGACATGGTTCCTCTTTGTGTAATTGGTTGCAAGTGAAAACATTTCATTTACCTCTCTTTCCCTCTCGCTCTATATCCTGTGTGTGGGAGTGTGTGACTGTGTGTGTGAGACCCTGTGTGTGCGTGTGTGTGTGTGTGTGTGTGTGTGTGTGTGTGTGTGATTGAGGTTTTTGAGCTGCACGGTGAATTACATGCAGTTCTACTGTAATTAACTGCACTTACCAGTCTGTGTGTGAGACTTTCTGACGCACTGATAATTGAGGCATCAGCTTGTGTTTGTTTTAACCTGCCTTTGAAGGCATGCTGGGAAGATGTTTCACAGGGTTTAGTGGAGGGTACATCTGTGTGTACAAATGTCAAAGACGTGAAAGGACCCTTGTTTACCTTTTTAAAAACATTTTATGACAGAAAACCTGAAATGTTAGAGATTTCCACAGCTAATATTGCTTTATCTAACATCGAAATCAGAAACAAGAACTATTGTTTTTACCATGGTGCTGTGCCATCCTGAGAAACATAATACAACAATTTCCCAGCGACTATAATAGTGGTTTTTCAGAAAATGGCTTGTTTTAGCTCTGCAGTCTCGCTGGTATTTGTAATTTCATTAGAGGTCTGAATTGTGGAACCAAGGTCTGCCACAGTTCAGTGAAGCGTTTCCCTCAAGTATTTGTGGTTCTTGTAAAACATAGAGTTGTGTTTGTGGACAATATTAGAGTGTAGCAGAGACAGAGAGGTCCGGTTCAGTTCTGTCTCTGCTGCATTAATGCACAAAACCACAGTCTCCTTCCGTCTCCAGGACTCTGAGATGATTAGTGGAGGAGGGAGAGACAGATAGAGTGACAAAGAGAGACAGATGGGGAGAGAAAGAAATACAGAGACACAGCTTGTGGAGAGACATTAAGTAAAGCAGTGTTGGTTTTGTTTCCCTGTAGGTGATCTGTCCCGAACACCACCAACTCTTCAACCCACTTTTCTTCTATCTCCAAACCCCAACCGCTAACTGCCCACCCATCCACCTCTCTGCTCCCCCTAAAGCCCCTCAATCCCTACCCCAAACCTGCAATTTGTCCCACAGTGGAGATTGATGAGAATAGCTTGGCAGGGCCGCCACTATCATACTTACACTGAGTTTGGGAGGAGCGCTGCTGCTGCGTGTATAGGCCATCCATCATGTCCTATGTACACACTCCGTCAGGTCATCCCTCAAGAGTCCCTGAAGGTTTGCAGGCTGTTGCTCAGGGTGCCTCTTTAAGCGATGGATAGCGCATGAAGACGGGAAACAGAAGAACGAGAGGCTGCACACAGAAGCAGGGCCTGTTCCTCAGAGCAGGGGTTGGTGCATTTAATACACAGACAGCGGGAACAGAAAGACAGAGCTGCTAAAGACAAATGAGCCTGTGTTGGACATGGAAGGTAGATCATGGAGAGATTGAGTGGGGTCACGACTCCCCTGATGCAGTAGGTGGTGGAAGGACCCAGTGGGAGTCTTAGGTTTGGTTATTCTAACCTCTATGACGGGTGTGTGTGGGCGTGTGCGCTGGCTTGTGTGTGCATGCAAAAATGCATACTTACAGTGGAAACTACAGATCTGAAAGCAGTGTCTGTCCTGATTAAGGCATTTAAGGAGTACAACACTGAATTTCTTGCCAAGCTCCTTTAAAAAAAAATAACCTAAAAATACACTTGTTTCTGGACATCCGCTCATAGGAAATACCAAATATCAGCAATTAACTTAATTGTAAGTGTAGAGCATTTAACCTGATTTCTTGGCAGTGTCTACATATAATCTGAAATACTTAATTACTTCAGGGGTTTGATCTCAATTAATCAAAATAAAATAAAAGCACAGAATCAAGAGAATAGATTTGCTCAAAAACTGAATTAAAAAGTGGAGTCGATCTGTGTCTTTGTAACCCAAACACATCTTTTTATGTTCTATAGAAAAAGTCTGGTACTTCTCTACTTGATGGACAAACAGCTGCTGTCTAGCTTAAGGCCATTGCTGCCGGGATAGTGATATACAGGCCGACGTATTGGTGCAGTTTTTCGGACAGACTGCCATGACCTCAGGGTCAGGGGCATTAGAAAGAGGCTGAGATCAAAGTGGATTATGATAAAGTCATTTGTTCCATGTCAGAGTGAGTTGCATGTCCAGGGGAGGAAGAAAGGATACATTGAAATTTGCACGGCAAAGAAGCGTCTGTGAATAGCAGCAGCCAATGGCCTTGAGGCAGTTTGGTTCTCTGTCAGAATCTCTGTCTTGATGTCATGCAACGCTTGTCAAGAGCAACATCTGCTGAAAAGATGCTAGAGTGATGGTCAAAAATGTGCTGGCACAAAAGCTGACAGCGTGCGCAGGGGCGGATACTCCATCCTGAATGGAGGTGGAGTCATTTCTCTAGATGACACTCGCTTTCTGGTGCTAACATGATACATAAGACACGATGGTGATAATGGACACTGTGGGTCATTCTCAGTTCAGTTTCCTCCAAAGTATATCACCAAAGAGAAGAAGAGTGGACTCCCAGAGGGCACTGTAGCGTTCCTCATCTCTTCCCCTAATAACATGCAGATGGGCCTCTCTAATGCCTGTTTACATATCTGCGGCATAGTTCATGACTAAAGTAAGCAAAGCCCTAATTATTTTACCCGGCGACGGGACCAATAAAATCAACTTCCCCTTCTCGTTACGGGTGTTTAAGTGAATCCTTTGATGGCAGGCCTTTGTTTATTTTTGGAAGAGTTGCGTAGCCTGGAGGAAAGCAAATAGAAGTAATGACAGAGTTGCTGACAAATGGAGGCCATGGTGATGGATTCATTTCCTCAATGATGCCTGGAGGGCTACTCTGTGAAGCAGGTTCAACATAAATGCACGTTAAAGCAATTGGAAACATGATTGGCAATATTTATATTATGTCAGCAGCTGAGAGACTGTCGTGCATCATCATATGTTGTCAGGAACTGTGTTACAGCAGCTTCAACGTTATGTTCCTGTCACAGCAAATGTTTTATTTTACAGACACCGAAATGTAATGCATACTAATGTGTCTCTTCTTTGCAGAATGCTGTGGAAAATAACCATCCCGGTCATCCTGGCTGGGGTGCTTTGCATCACCGCAGAGGCCAAAAAGTCCCGGCCTCAGGGATCCATCCCCTCCCCGTACAAGACCAAAGGGAACCTGTCCTCAGAACGTCACCACCGGTTGTTGCATCAGAAACCAGAGGTGCTCTCCTCCAGCAGGGAGGCCTTGGTGGTGACGGAGCGGCGCTACCTCCGCAGAGACTGGTGCAAAACTCAGCCCCTCCGCCAGACAGTCAGTGAGGAGGGATGTCGCAGCCGCACTGTGGTCAATCGTTTCTGCTATGGCCAGTGTAACTCCTTCTACATCCCCCGACACATGGGGCCCAGCTCGGGTCAGGGCCAGAATCGTGGCCAGGCTTCAAGCTCCGGAAGGAAAAGTCACAACAAGGCACAGGAACCTTTCCAGTCCTGCTCCTTCTGCAGGCCGCACCGCATTACACAGCTCACAGTGCAGCTGGACTGCCCAGACCTGCAGCCACCTTTCAGGCACCGTAAGGTGCAGAGGGTTAAACAGTGTCGATGTATGTCTGTGGATGTGAGCGGCCATGGGAAACTGTGAAGAAGGATGTGGAAAATCCTTCGAAACTGAAATGACAATGCAGGATTTGACAGACTTCAAACGGGAACTGGCTTCAATTTGAACATGTACTTTTCATGCCCAGAAATGATGGGCTGTCCTACAAAATAATGACTTGAAACATGGAGCTGGTAATATTAAACAAGACTGAGAGCATTGATTCAATCAGAGACTAGCAGCCATGTCGGCAAGCTTGTGTTTTTGCAAAAAGACTCGTACAAGAGACACTGATGATGAAGCAGTCTATATTCAACATTAAAGATGTTTCCTCTGTAGTATTTTAAAAAGTCCATATCTTTCTGGTTATTTGTACATTTGCCACCAGATTCCTTTGTGATGAACACAAAACATTAAGGACAATGCTTAATGCATCTTTAAGAAACAAAACTCTGTTAACTGCCTGTGAATCAGCAGTAATTACAGTTTGCGAACTATAGTTTCAACTATAGGAAATGCTGAGTTTGTTTTAGTGTTTGGTCTCTCTCTCTCTCTGTATATTTTCCACAAGATTTCTTCACATTGACGTTGAGGAAACAATATCAAGATGAGGTGACTACAATGACCTGTGGCATCCATCTGCTGAAACACTCACCCGGCTGTATACAGTACATTTGCCACAGATATATTCTGGCCAGTAGAAAAACATACTGCAGCATGTGTAATGGAGGTGCAATGCAATATATACAGTTTATGTTATATGTATGAGTGTATTAATGTATGTGAAAATTATATTAAATCTATTTCATATAAAACAACAGTGGTGATTGGAGTGCATGTACATATGTGTGACTTACCACAGCTGATCAAATGACAAACAATCCTACACAGAATCATTTCTATCACAAAATTGATGTTATGGCTTTTATTTAATAAATATACGTCTGTATGGGGAAGGCTTTCCAATCAAACATATTGTTGGTATTGCACATGAACGTCACGTCACATAATCCTGTTGTTGTTGGGAGTTCACACGCTCACACAAAGCAGGAAAGGCCAAACTAAGTACATGGGATTTTGCTTAAAACAAAGCAAGTAGACAAAAGTGCTAAATAAAACAAAGTACGTCTGCTTCAGGTCACACCACTAACAATAGGTATGCATGGCCTTATTGCCTTATTATGGATATTGAACCACAACAGAGAATGTGCTGTATAATTATCACAATAAAGGAATGTACAATTATCGTATTTCAGTCCATGTAAAACAGATTTTTCTTCATTATGCACGCAACATTTATTAATGGATATGTCTCAGAAAGAAGCTCAGTTCGGCAGCACTCATTTGACCTCTGTGCTTTACAATAAGGCACTGATAATCGTTACCTACCGTGTAGAAATCGTATAAAATCTTGTGCTTTTCACCTTTAAGGAAGATATAAAGCTGACATGTTCATGCCTTTCTAGTAAACCAGGCTAGGAATTGCACTAAAGAAAACAGGCTACATACGGCTTATAAACAATGAGAAAGCTTCGATATTATATCGCTACCAAGTTTAGGATGCAATGGACGATTTCTGGCATCTTCTTCAATATGAAACCACTACATTTACTCATTGCAGAAATATTTCATTTAAAGGGGCTATATGTAACTTTTTACATGTATAAATCGTTTTTTTAAGCGAACGGTTAACTGATGTGAAAAAGTAGATGTTTACAGTCTATCTGTGTTGCCTGTATAAAATTTTTCCCCGGGTCGTATTTTCCGTGAAAGCTCCAGGAAGTGACATTTTATGTGCGTTCTCAACGTCCTCCTCACTCCACTCCACTTACAGAGATCAACAGTACAGACTCATCACACACTCTCACTACAGCCAGAGGCCGACTTCCACACACTTCTATCCGCCTATGAGCTCTCAAAGACGGACAAACTCATCACACACACCTGCTCTCAGCCAGTGCCTGCCGAGACGTTTGTAGGATGGAGAATGAATACAGACACACAGACTCCTTCACAGACTTTCACATGTGTATGACCACTTACCTCCTCTGTAAACATTATGCCGGTAAATATCCAGTGTTTCGCGGCCGATGATGATGCTCGTTTGTGTACGTACGAGCACGTATGACGAGCACGCGAGGGAGAGCGAGCAACAGGTTACTGCTGAAGTTCACCAAACGGCCATGAGGAATCACTACAAACGCAGTATTTTTGAAAGTTACATATAGCCCCTTTGTGGAAAGGTGATCTTTTATTCTACTTTTAAACAAAAATATCCAGTTTGAAGGGTCTCACAATAAAAAAACAAGTCGAAGTTAATTGAAATCAAATACTGGAGGCAAATTCGTACAAACTTCCAATGAATTTACGCAAGATTGTACAAACTGTGCTTGTGCAATAGGCTGCTTGATGATCGTTTTCCATCCTCTTGCTTCAGAACTTCTGACCCAGCTTTGCTTTCTGTTGGAGAGAAGAAAAAAAACCAGCTTGAGTTATTTACAGCACTGGAACTGGTCTCAATATGTTACTGCAGGAGCCAGGAGTGTTGTTTCCTTTATCACCCTAAAGAGTGTTTGTTAAGGAACAGAGGCTGCTCGGGGAGGAGACGATTTACTCCAAGGGGGAGAAAAGACGAGCTGAATGAGCAAATTGAAGCCACGAGACCGTATAGAGAAAAGAAGGGAAGGGACGTACTATTCCAGTTGCATGTTTGGGTTTCACATTGTAGGAGGCCTTCTCCTTGGCCTGTTTGAAGGACTCTTCAGCCATTTTGACCCTGAAAAAGAACCAGAAATAACCATCAGTCATCCAATAAAGACACATTCATCTTAATTCAAGGGCTAAAATTCATTACTTCACCAGAAAAGTAGGAAGATTCCTACTTAACCCCGCCAGACTTTGGTTATGGGTTTTTTCACACCATGATCTTAAAAAATCTGATCTTGCAGATCTTGTAAAAGCTCTGCTCGGAAATGATTCACTCGTAGTTTACATGAAGCAGGCAACTGGCATCATTACTGATTTGTACTTTACAGAGACAAAAGATCAGCAGGTTAGTTTCAAGTGAACACAGTATTATACCAGGGTGCTGTGTGTGTGTGTGTGTGTGTGTGTGTGTGTGTGTGTGTGTGTGTGTGTGTGTGTGTGTGTGTGTGTGTAACAGCGCATGTGAGGATGAATATTTATAGCTCCACGGGAGTCTAAAAAGGAAAAGCAGCAGAGAGAGAATTGCGATGATAGCCGGTGGCACAGGGCAAAGAGTTAATGCTTTCAAATTGTTTTAATGTTTTCCTACTGAACAAGCAAGGTTTGTGACATTTTGCTTCTCCCTCAAATACATATCACAATTCGATCTTCATTTGGCATAATGGACCAATTTGCTTTTTGTTGACATATGCAGCAGTATCTTTAAATTCATCAAACCACTGGAAGCTAACTGGATGCTGCTTGTGTTCTTTTCATTACTGGGGTGAGGACACAGATTTGGGTCATTTAACCTCTTTTCCCTTCATGAATCTGAATGAATATGATAGGATCTTCAGTGAACACGAGATGGACTGCAATTTATTAATGGTTGGTTACTTCCACTTGGGGAACATTTGAAAGATAGGAACATTGGTATATCAGTAATGATACTTAAGAGCAGGGGTTCCCAGCTCGCGACCCCCAAAATGAAGGTGCCAGAGGGGCTCTGGTGGCCTAGTGGTCAGTGCGAGCTATAGTCCTCCAAGCTGGCGGCCTGGTTTCGATTCCGACCTGTGGCTCCTTTCCCGAATGTCATTCCACACTCTCTCTCGTTCTCCCCGACTTCTGCCTCTATTCACTGTCCTATTTCTAAAATAAACGGATTTAGCTTTAAAAAAAAAAAAAAAGGTGGCAGTGTCTGCGGACCTCCACTGACCTTAGAGGAAGTTAAGGCATATAATGTAACACACCACCACATACTGATAGGCCTATCTGAACACTGGTAACACAAAATAATATAACAGTCTAAAAATGATAAACAGTGTAAAATTATTTTATTTTAATTTATTTTAAGAAAGGCTGGAAGAATAAAACTATTTCCTACTTCCTGCATCTCCCTCCATCCCATTTTTCAAGCCCAGCGTAGTTCTGCAGATGGCTGGTTCATCCCGAGTCTGGTTTTGCCCCAAATTTCTTCCTCTGAAAAGGACGTTTTGTCTTGCTACTGTAACTTTGCTAAATGTTACTTATTGCTCATGTTGGATTAACGTTGAGTCTTTATAACATAACAATGAGTGAGGTCTTTTACCTGCACTTTGTAAAGTGTCTTGAGATAACATTGGTTATGTATTGGCGCTATACAAATAAAGATTGTTTAATTGAACTTTAGACTTTAGCACTAAGTGGACATAAAACACTTGATTAATAGAAACATTTGTGTTCATCTTTTAAGATCAGTAGACACCTGAAAAGTTGCTGTCTTGTGCAAACTTGCATTTTAAGTATTGTCACACATTCATTTCATTTTCATTTCAGTTAATGATGTAGTTAAATTTGAAATTAAACATTTTTTGTATCTATATTTACAATAATGAGTCAAATATGCATTTTTAAATCATTTTAAATCATCTCTTGTTGGCCCAACTTTGGAAAACTGCATTGGAGAGTGTTGCATCCTTCTCAAAGACATTAGAGAGAGCAGTAAAGTGCCTAATATCTCATTAGGATTTGGTTTTAACACAATAGCTTTAGGTGTAGGAAGGTGTGTGTCACATTCTGAAATAGGAATTGTCTCACCGTTCCTTTAACATCAGCTTATTCTGCTTCTTCCAATGGTCTTTAAAATCAGTGGAAAACTCGTGCCAAACAGAGAACAGAGTGTTGGGAGAGACCTCCTTCTCTCCAGCCTTTGGTTTAACGGAGAATGACACGCTCAACTCCAAGAAGCTGAGGACAGAGAACAAAAACATTTCTTCAAGACCAAACTATTACAACACGAGCTTACAGAAACCCTCACAGACTGTTGTGAAACCTGAATGTGTTGAGCAAATATGCAAAATATGAAGTTAATCTTGGAATAACAGCGATTTAATGGTAGAGAAACATCTAAAAAACACAAACCAGTGATGACTGTGCATTTCGGAGAGAACGCAAAGTGGAATTACTTCCACTAAAGCAGCATGGTCATCCAGGTTTTTCTTACAGATTAACTTTGAGGACTAAAATCAACTCTTAAGCATCTCCTGTGCAGTGCTTGGCTTTGTCACTCACTTTTCTTGGGTGTAAAAGCCTCTAAAGAAGCGTGTGTACTTTTACATGTACATACATGAGATCATATGTATGTACATGGCAACGATCAAGGAAAGCGAGGAAGGAAAAAATATGTCTGACAGCGAGACGAAGACAAATCTAGCCAAATGATGAATGAATAAGGCAGGAGATGACATATGCTAAAGTGTTGAATATGTTGGCCGTTTGCAGTGGATCAATACGACGGACAGGTTGGGGTCTCTTTGTTTGGAGTGTGCTATAGGAACGCATTCCTGGCCAGCAGTAACAGAAGCCTGGAGCCAGTGCTGTCTACTCTCGCTCCACTTAGATAAACAACCAGACACCGTACAGGGGGGCCTCCCATCTGCTGCAGGCCTGGCATCATGGTCTGCACCCTCCATGTAACTGAAGGAACCAGGACTCCAAAATATTGACAAAGCATGCCAGATTATATTTCACAACTGCAACAAGGATATATCGCTTCATACTGTATCCGATTGCATCTTCAAATGTGTTGTGTTCATATTCAAAACTGTGCAGCAGAAAAGGAAATAATGACTGAGAAATGCTGTATATGGTATTGGAAAGTACACCAGGCGATGCATAAACCAGGTACAATAATTATTATTTATATATATATACTTTTTTTTAAATTCAAATCCACTCGCGAAGCATCATTTTTTTCATACCAAAATATTACAATTCCTTTTTGAGTCACATTTGTATTTGTTACATTTCATTAAGATACACTTACAGTCAAAAGTAATATGTATTTGGTTACCCCAACGTTAACACTAGCTCGTAGCAGACTGCTCGAAGCAAGTTAACTAATGTCCCATGAAGTAAACTGTGGCGCGTGGTAGCATGCATTCCTGTGTGCGTTCCTGTGTGTGTATGTTAATAGGTGTATGTTTGTGTGTGCCAGCATTCCCGTGAGGAGCTCTGACGTGCATTTTAAAATTAAATGACTATTTTGGTACAAACTTTTACCCGCCAAGTCTTGCATAGCCCTCAAAGATTTACCTAACGGAAAATCTGTTTGCATTTGGCACTTGGTGGGTGTTAATTCTGGACCCTGCTCAAGTGAAGTTTTTGGGATCACCAATGGGAAGAAACAGATGGTTTAAGCACATATCTAATGAAGTAGAAACAAAGTGTCTGCATATCTTTTTTTGAAGTTAAAGAAGCTACAAGTAAAGGTTTCAAAAGACACAAAAAAAAGTCCTTACATCTTATGAGTGTCTGCCAGCTGCTCCTCTTGTGTTTCCAGCTCCGTTTTAGCTGTGAAAGAAAACACATTTTGTTTACAATGGAAAGAGCAGTGCACAAGTTAATACAAGATTAGATTAGGATTAGGACAGAAACTGGATTTCCCCGTGACATCAGAAAATACACCTTTCACCTACAATGTATAAAAGGAGGGATTCCACATGTCACCATTAATTCAATCAACGGTCATGTGGAAGGTCAGAGCTGTGCCACCAGGTTATTAAGTGTCGGATTGTCCAGCAGTTGCACAACAACAAATGAGGATTGCAGATCGTGGGGACAAGTGCTTCTTTGTGCAGGGGTTACATCAAATGGAGATGGATGACTTTCTGTGTGTGTGTAAGAGGTGTGAGAGAAAAAGAGAGAGAGAAAACCGGGGTAGGACTTCGTGGTACACATTAGGAGATATTTCCAGCAGGCCACAACATTTATCTCTGTGGGCTATCAGGATGTTTTTGACTGTTTCCTAAATGATGATATAAGAGAACAGCAGTGAAATGTGACAGCCTCAGTCAGGAAAATACCGCAGGTTACTACTTATCAAATTTCACATCCACGGCGCTGATTATAAGTCCATTTTCCAATGTGACAGAGTGGCAGTAGACCTAAACCAGCTGTTTAAATCCTCACTGTGCTGCTGTGACTGACAAAAAGTACCACATTAAATTCTCTGTCCTCTCGAGGTCAATTATTTGCTGCCTTAAACTGTCAAACGCTCAGAAATGACCCGTGGCCTCCTCATCGCTTTCCAAGACAGATGGGACAGAAGATGGGACGGAGACTCTTTCCTGGCACAGATCTGTGTTCTTCTCTCAGCCTGGGGATATCTGGTTGCTTTATCCAAACCAGAGCCACATCCTAAAGATCTCAGAAAGATCTGAGGCCAGCATTTGACACTGTAATAGGCCCCAATCATGTTTCTGTCTCCTTATTGTTCATCAATAAATGAAAATTAATAACAACATAGGGCTTGGTTAGCATCTTTATAGCAGACACCATTCATTTTTTCCCCCTTTAAGTACATGTTTAGATGTGTCATGACTTTATTATACAGTATACTGAAAGATGTATTAAAGTTGCACTATAGATTTGGTTGGGAAATCTGAAAAATTGGAGAAGTGAAACAATTCTATGCTATATTTTCTGAACTAAATACACAGACTTTAATCAAAGGAAGGGTCCCTGGAAGACTATTTGGAGCTAAAAGGCTACCAGGAGAGTTACAGTTTCACTGTTGATGGCCCCCCACCATAACTTCTCACGAAGCATCTTATCTTCAAACAGTGCTCCAGGGACCAAATTTTCCTCTGAGGACATTTTGTGTATAAAGTTATGAACATATACAACAAAATCTATAAATTTATCCAACATTCACATTTCTCTACCAAAACTCCATAGTGCAGCTTTAAGTAAATACATTTGTAAAAGGACCAAATGCAATATTACACACAACTTTAACATTTGATTTACTATATAAGATTTAGATTAGAGCTCATTTTATCTTCTGTTTGGTAGGACACAACTTAAAAACAAAACATTCTGATAATTATAAAGAACACTTGGTTAACTAGACTAGAACACAACACAGAGTTATTTACTAAAATCATATGAACAAACAGATATGAGAAAGGTGTGGCATGATTGGACAGGATTGCTTAAGTTTTACCCATTGTACCAACAACAATAAAAAGGAGGATGCTATTTTTTAAGGTCCAAGTTTTGTAATGGCATTATGTATTTAATGTGGTCAAATCAAAACTTTCTTTTTAATTTGCATTTTTGCCATGACAACGGTCTTTATACTGAAAAATGTTCATTGTAACTTTATCTTCAAACATGTCGTAATGTTCTGGGCAGCAGAGTTGTTGCTGGTAGACAGCAGAGGGAGAGATTGACTTCAGTCAGACTAATCTTCATGTCCATCAGAAACAGATTATCACATGGCCACTGCTCTCTTTCTAGTCTCAGTGACTCCATCAAAGGCCTGCATGCATGAGAATTTGTGAAGCGAGCGGGGAAAATCAAGCTAGACCAAACAGCCGAGCTCCAACAAGTCCGCTCCCACTGTTATTCTGTGGTTAGTTTCATGGTCAGAAAATAAACAAAAGCGGTTTAAACTGTGGAGCCAGAAACAGTTTAACCCCAGGCCTTTTCGAAATTACAGAAATAACAAAAATAAGACATTTGGCTGTTGTTCTTTTTTTCACTGCCGCAGCGGAGGAACCCCAAGAATCCCGTCTGGAGCCTTGTGAGTCACATGTCCGTGTTACGGCGCTTACATTCTGCTCTCTGAGGGAAAAACCTTGTCATTTGCATCAAAGAGAGAGCTCCCATATTTCTCTCAAACACAGAGAGAAAGGGAAACGAGAGGGGGAGAAGTGGAAATGGGGAGAGATTCTTTCATCTGCAGACTTCCTTTAAAATGGACAGTGAGCATTACCGCGGAAGAACATATGCTATATATTATACTCTCATCTGAATACAAAAGCAGTTGGAAGAGAGGCCGGTGACTGCGAGCTGGCTCCATCAGAACGATTGGTCACAGTCAACTGGATGTAGCCAGGGTCAGAACCAATACTACATAAAGAATGATATTTGACTTTTTATGTTAAAACTAAGTCTCACACCTTTGATGTGAACCACAATAGTCCAATACTGTTGTACTGTAGATGTCAGGTTGTGCAGAGAACAGCATGGATGTATGACATATGGCGGTCATGATGGATAAACAGGACTCCATTTTTATTAGATTTTGCCTACTAAGTATATGTGGAACCAAAAATGTACAAGTAGCTGTTTGCCTGCTTTAGAGTTTAAAGTTTCATATCTGTCTTTAGTTTGCTCCATGTGTCTCCAGGAGATTCAAAACCATGCAAGTATTATGGTACTAAAGGGATAGTAAAGTGGATCAGACTAGACAGTCGCCTCACATTTCTTTAAAATACTAAGGGTGGAAATTGGAGGGTAAAATAATAAGATCCCAATACAGCGATTCTGCAACGTATGATAGACTACAAGACACTCATCAAATATTACGTCAGGATTTCTGATTACAGAATACAAAATGCCTCTAAAAAGGTAGAGTTTAGGATTCATGTATTTATTTTAGTGTTAGTTTTACCTCTCATCATGCTTCATCCTTAAACTTCTGTAAGACATTATCACAAAGTCATTCTTTTAATCAAGTTCTTTGGCCAATTCACTTCTGTTCATGTCACCATTGTTTATGTCATGAGCACTACTGCAAGTCATTAATTAGAGGCGTGGTGAGTCCAATTAGCAGGGAAATCTTTGTAGAGTGCGTTTTAGTTTTCATTTCATGAAAATATCCATATTTGGCACCAGCGATGTAATAATTGTATCACACGAGTCAGGATCAGCATATATCGCCTAATCAATTTTTTTCCCAACCACAACAACTTGGTAAGTAGCACACGCGTTGAATAATGGTGCTAAAGGTGACCCTCTGTGGTGTTCAGTCCAGGTGAAAAATGAATTTGACTGCAGAAGTCTGCTTTGGGAGCTGGTGGGTGGTTGCGGCAAAGGATTGATCTACAGACACAGGAAAGAGTTAATCGAAATAAACAAACTTTTCATCCATGAAACCTGGTTTTGATTCCCATCAGAAAGAAATAGTACATGTTGAGTTATTTACAGAAGTATATGTGATAGTATAGCTACATATCTAAATTGCGTTTTTTAGTATCCCTATCAAGTAGTTTTTTATTCCTACACTTCCACAACTTAATAAGGTCAAAAAGTTCAGCAGGCCTTTTTTTTCAAAATCTAACTGAATGTTGCTCATTTAACATCACAAGGTTGGTTGAAGCAAAGAAACAAGTTCTGGTACATAGTATATTTGGCTTAATCCATCACAATTTAACCCTTCAAATGCCAGTTTGATTACATGATTCTGGGGGTTAAAATCCTGATAATTATTCAATATTTGATAGTTCTGAGCAGGACTGGAATTGTTTAAGAGATTTATGCAAAAAAAAAAGTAGAATTTTCTTTTAATCTGTTCGATTTTTATAGCAGTTTTTGTAAATTGGACATTTTCACCCTCCAACATCCAAACAGGGAACTACATTTTAAATCTGATGCTACACAAAAACTAACAATGCATCAAAGTCAATCTTTTGGATAATCTTTGACATATCCAAGACTGATTTCTAAAAAATTGCCCAGACACCAAATATTTGTTAGATGGAAAATAACTCATTTTTGTGTTTTTTTTTTTCAGAAATAACAACAGTGACATCAAGTAATCAAACTGGCATTTAAAGGGTTAAATTCCTAAAAAATATTGAATTTTTGGTAGTTTTGAGCAGGGCTGAAGTTGTTTAAGAGATGTATGCAGAAAAAAGTAGAAAAAAATATCAATCTGTTATATTTTTATAGCAGTTTTTGTAAGTGGACATTTTTGTCCTTAGTGACTTAAAAGGGTGGTAAAAATGTTTCACAGTGTTCAATTGATCTATTAAAGAAATAAAATTTGCATTCCAAAATGTGTCAAGAGAGAGACTTTCTTACATAAATGTGTGCCATATGTACTAACACAGCCAAAAATGATGGCCAGATAAAGAGGAAACATTTGCCCAAATGGACAAAACTGTCCATAATAATGCATGAGGGCTTTTCTCCAATATTTTGGTTTATTATAAATACTAGCAAAAATAATAACATTGTATAGCATTCTGAAATTAGCATATAGTTCAAAGCACAACTGTGCTTACAGGCATTAGTAAGGCTAAGGATTTTTAGCATAGTTGAATGGCAACTGGGAGAGGAAGTAGTCATTTTTGATAATTCATCATCATTGTTTTAGCAGCCCTCTTAGTAAACAGCTCATGGTGAAGGTTTATTTTATTTTGTAATAGGAAAGAAGACATCAAGGAAGCAATGTGCTGTTGTAGTGTGTTTTTCGTTCCTCAAACACAAAGAAATAAAAAGCCATGTAAATAGAACAGTGCCACGCTGAAAATTGAAACATAGAGGGAGACAGGAACTAAAGGAAAATCACTGAGACCAGAAAAAAGCAAAATAAATGGGAAAAAAAACATGTCACGACATCAAGAGCACTAAGTGAAAGGGATCAGGTGCAGAACAAGTCCGTTTTATTACAGCCCCTCAGGCATCTCTTCTATTCTCTGCAGCCAATTGAACAGACTGTGTGACAGGTTCACCTTTGGCCATCCTGAACCTTCCTTTGAGGCAGAGCAAGACATACTCTGTTTTATATGGTAGAGATCAAGATAAAAGACCCAGCTACCAAGTGCAGTCTAATCCGTCAAAGCAGATAGACGTACTTGAAACAATAGCTGTGAGTTATTCAATACACCCTGGATAAACAGAGGTCCCTATGGAAACGACACGGAGTGAACTCTGTGTGTATATCAAGCAGAAAGCAGCATGGAACAGATTTGGAAAATGTCTGCAGACAAAGAGCACTTAAATCATTCTGATGGATGAGCTACTTCACATACGCTCACACCACAGATGCATTTGCAGAAAAGATATGCCAAAGGTATATCACCACTGAATGCCCTTTGAATCTGGGGGGATAAATTATTAATCTCTTTTGAGTTTAACGCTGTGTCTGACACTATCACAGATGAGCCAACCATATGTGCAAATGGACTGACCATGTAAAGTTTTACCATATTTAAGGGTAAGGCTGGTGATAATAGCAAATGATGGATCACTGTGATTATTGATTCTTTCCTATTTCCATCTCCTGTCTGTGGTGCTCAACAGAAATAAAATGTCAGCCCTTGAAAACATATACATTTATGACAAAGAGGACTAAATAAGCTGGTTAATTTAGCTTTGAGCAAATACAACTGAAACAAGATTAAATGGTTTATTTGTTGGGGATTCTTTTCAGCAGTTTTGTATTCATAGCAGCAGAACATTGTCTAAAGGGCTCGAATCACTGCTCATGTTCAGGGTAATGAGGTAATATGGCAACCAATGCAAGAGTCTGGCTTACTGACGTGCTTTTAATATGTTTTGGACAATGTGAAAGCTCAAAGCACAAAGCAACAAGTGATATCAGGGACTTGGCTACACTTGTCAGGATCAGTTCTTGTTTGTTTCGGTCTTTCATGGGAATTTTTTTTTTACTAGAAGAAATAAACAGAATATCCCAAGACTTATCCCTTAGGCCTAGGCTCAGACTACTGGAGTTTTAAAATCTTATCAAGTGAAAAAAGGAGATGTCATCACCGTTTCTCATTGGCTATCATCATCCCACCGATGTAATCTTCCAGATTTCAAATCTTTAATATAAAACGTTTCAGATTCTATCAGGAAAGTTCAGATGATTCTTGCACTCATTTGGGCGGTTACAGGTTGGGTCTGTTAAACCCTCACATTAACAGACAATCTGGACTGAACATGGTACAGTCCAAGGGCCAACACTGGATTCCTTTCCCCGTGTACCGGATGGATAAATCAGGTAATAAATTGGACTGATCCTGCAGGAGTCTGGCCTTAATGGGGCAGATTTCTTTCATCTAAAATCAGTTTCTGTAAGTTTTGGAAGTCGGGCTCACCTTTGCTTAGAAATTCGTCCATCTTGTCCTTAAAGGGCTGCCGGTCCTCTTCAGAGGATGACTGGCAAACTTTCTCCGTCTCACTTGAGCACGCTGAAACAACAAAAGAATGTCATGTTGAAGTATTTAGGAAAAATAACTTTCAATCAAGCATTTATGCTGAAATGACAAACTCTAACGTGCACTTTGCCCTGGTTGAGCTTGCATTCATAAATCTCTGCTGAATTTCTGCTGAGTAAGTGTTGGCAAAGACATAATGACCCATAATGACTAATAAGGCATCCCCATAAGAGCCAGGAAGGCCTGTGCTCTGATCCCAGGAGAAATGTATCGTCATGCTCTATCTGCGACCATAACGTATACACAAACTCGGCTCAAAGCCTTGTGAGTTAGAGAGGCCATGAGACGCTTAAAGGAAAGTGGAGGTCGTGACTGGGTAAGTGGTAATTCATAGACCATATGTTGCCTCAACCAAAAAAGTACACAGTGAGCTCTCTCCTCTGCGCTGCTTGCTGATGTCCTTCGGGCCAGCCAAGGCCATTTCTGCGCCGCCTACCTATCGGAACCCCCCGCTGGGAACTGTCATCGAAGCCCAGATCTGTTAGAGCACTCAACTGGCTCGGCTAGGTAATGAAGAGGTCTGCAGGTACAGCATGTGATGATGTATTTATGCACAGCCAGCATGTGCCACTGCCACCGGGGTCAACGCAGACGCAAATCCGTTTCCCTTGTGAGCAACTCCATTTTTATGAATTGCAAATAACGAACAGCCTAAAGAACCATTATGGGCTAGGAAAAACAATATTTGGCAACACGGATCAGGCACCTGATTGGTTTAGCAGCAAAGATACATAAAATTTGATAGAGAACAGACCAGGTTTGGGGAATTGTCGATTGAGCTGCAAGCACACAAACTCGCGTAAACACACATGTACATGTACTCATGCGTGTGCACACATATGTTTGCAAAAAAAAATACACAGTCGGTTTTTTTTTTTACCACTTGTAGCACTTCAGGCATTGGAATGTGTTCTGAGTGCTGAATGACTTGAGACAGAGTCATGAAAGGGAATATTTCCCAACGGGCTCATTCATTAGGACTCTTTTCACTCAACCAATCAGTTTGGCATGTCAAGCATAATCCAATTTTCACACTCTACATACTCCTGATGTCTTCATTTGCAATAACAAATTAAATCATTCACTGGTTCTCTTGCAAAAATGTAATAAAGCCTTTCAAAAGTTGACTTATCTTATAGAATGTTTTGTTCTACATGTTTAACACCAAATGCAACTTATAAAACCCTTAAATGTAGTAATGTGCTTTGACTTCTATCAGGGATTACTTAACATTACTTTTAGTACAATGAATAATCTGAATGGCATGTCCTTGGCTTGGTAATTTGTGATTGTGAAGTTTCTTTAACAATATGCTCATTATATAAAAGCCTGAATAATAAAGTTTGCAGCAGAACTGCTGTAACAACGGACTGATGAATCATTCAGAAGGCAAATAATGAACGCTTGAACACAAAAGAGGGATCCCCAGGTGTGCATGGTTTTATAAAACATTATTTTTTCATGTACTGTCATCATAAAAAACACACACAATGATAACTTTGAGTACACTCATGTAGCTAACCTCTCCAGCAGGCTATATCTGGTTCTAATGCGTACTTAACAATAAGCAAACTGCTAGTGGCACTTCAAAGAATATCAAAAAACTTTAACAAAACCCTGATATAAATGTTTGCACTGCAATACGTCTATTTCTCTTATACAGTCATTATACGTATTTGCTGTTACTTTAATACACAGACCAACAAAAAATATAAAGGTGTTTATCTCTAATTCAGCTGTGCAAGTTAACATATAAAATGTTTTTTTTAAGAAAAAGAAACATGAGAAAGGAAGTTGCCCAGCGTCCATTTATTTCCTTTAGTGTCAATAACTATGCTTACTGTGAGTCAACCTTTAAATAAATCAGCCCATCCTTCAATGATATTTATTAAAGCCAGCTTCTATAACATTTACACATAGCCTTCATGAAGACATGCACAGGTTTTCTTATGTCAGTTTAACACTTGTGCGTTGGAGGGTTGTTTCAGTGTGATGCGATTCAGAGCTCAAGAAGAGCCTCTTCCAGTTCTATGAGAAGCTGACATACCTTTAATAATGTAAACCAGTAGTGGAAGTTCACTGACTTTTAGCCCTTTATGTTTTTATTTCTATTTCACGAGGACAGTAAAGACACGCCAGGTCTTATGGGAGTCCACATCTGACAAGTCACATCTGCTTCTGGTTAGCTCTTCTGTACGACAAACAGATGCTATCTCTCTGTTGACTCGCTTCTCCAATCCACACGTGACCAAAGCTAGTCAGGTTTGGAAAATGATGTTCCATTGTGCAAGGAGATATATGCACTAAGTAACAAATAATTTATTACTTTAAACATTTCCATGTGATAATAATTTTTAAAATTGTATGACACCTGTGATAAATATTGGCTACTAGTAAGCTGTAAGTTTGCAGTTCAAATGATGATTGTGAAATGAGGATGACGACCATACCATTAAGGTCTTTCTTCAGCTTGCGCAGATCTCTTTGAAAGTCCTCAAACTTCATCTGGGAGGCCTGAAAAAGGTCCTGGGGCTCAGGTAGAGGGTACACACACGTCTCTCTGCCAGCATCCTGGTAAGGCCCAGCACACGTTCATGCACACAACACACACACACACACACCTTTGTCAAAATCAATTTTCTTCAAATGGGAAAGGGCCTCTCTAGTATATGCACCCTGAGAAAGGTAGGAAAACATTTCTTCAGAGACCTACATGTACTTATCAGTAGGGGTTTGATAAAGACACTTAGCTCACAAGACGAGAAGAGATGAGATGATAACTATCATAACCCTCTCCTCTACTCTGGATTATTCTCCACTAGCTGAAACACAAACGATTTTAAAGTGGTGGCGGCATTTAATGGTAATTTCTAGTTCAGCACCAGACTCTGTCTGGCTGCCGCTCTATGTCTATGTACTGATATCGCAAGACTGTTTCCACATCAACAAGAAAATTTGTGAAGATTTAATATCTCAAGTGCAGAAATCCCAGAGAAGATATGACTGAAAGTACAGCAGATAATGACCATTAAGCTTTCTGCTGAAGGTACACAGTGTTTCACTCCAACAGAGTTACTACAAGGCCATTATGAGTGCTGCAGCCCTGTCTTGCAGGTTGATTTTGGCAAGCTGCACACTACTGAGTTCATCTCATCTGGAGAACTTAATTATTTACACTAGCGCTCCTTTGGATGCTGTGCCAATGGACAGACTGCAGGTTTGAATGAACCCAGACCAAAGCACCAAAGCAGAGTGGGAGATGAAGAGTGAAAGACAGAAAGGGGAATTAAAAGAGAGCCAGAGAAGGAGAGAGAGATTTGTTCCTGCTGAAAATGAGGAAAAAGAAAATAAATAATTTGATAAAGGATAAGCCATGGTATCCTCTGGCAAGAGAGGAGATGAAAAGAAAGCTCTGGAAGGATTTCTAAGCAAATCAGGCTCAAACAGAAAAGTGATTCAAATAAACAGAGACCAAAACATACCTCATCAAAGTGCCTTAGATAGTAAGCAACGATGTAGGACAAAAGACTCTGGGAGTTATCCTGAAAGAAAAGAGAAGGATCCAAATAAATAAACCAAATTCCCTTTATTTATTAATTTAATCATGTTGAAGCAGGACGTTTTAATTTGTGCGAGGCAAACAAGAATAGACACAGCGGTCACAGAGGTTGGGCATAAATCTTGACATTGGAAGAGCAATACAACAAAACATAACTTTGCTGGGCCAGCTGTCATAACTCAAGAGTTGGTGGAAAGTTTGATGTTCTTTATGGATACCTTACTCGGCCCACCACCACAAAAACACAAACCACTGTGTCCTTATATGGCAGTGCCAAGGGCACGCTGAGCCCGTTGTGATATTGAATAAGTACAGTAAACAGAATGGTCTACCCCTGCACAAATCTGCACTACTATGATCCTCGTGCTCAGCTGCTTTGAATGTCTCTTTTAACTTTTGGACACTCAGCTGCAGACTCAAACAAATGGGACAATTCTGAAACACGAGATTTACATTAAGAGTTGATGGGGCGCATTTTGGCCAAGCGCTTAGTTTGCCAACCTTATGTAAAGAGGCTGTAGTCCTAGAGGCAGGCGGCTGAGGATCAACTCCGACTCTTGGCTACTTTCCTGCATATCATTCCCCACTCTCTCTTTCCCTAGTTTCACATTCTATCCACTGCCCTTTATAAATGAAGGAACAAATGTCCCAAAATAAAAATGTTAAAACATCAAGAGTTTTTTGCTCCTCACTTTATATCAAGCAAATGTTGCAATGCATTCTGAAGTCACTGTTATGAATGAAAACTGTAAACAAACATTGCAATAAAGTGAGAAATAAAAGAGCACATTTTGAAAAGAATAAATAAATAACTGATTTCATGGGTGACTGATAACAATCACTATTGACATTTAATAATGAGGGACATGTCCTACAGCGTTTGACAGAGGTGGCCAAAAACACATTTTTTTACTCTTTCCTATACAGTTGTTCCACTCTTAAGTTTATTTTTGTCGTAGCCTATGGCCTGAAGTTCTACTCAGCCAGCGGCAAGGACAGGAGACAGCCATGTACAAGAAATGGGTTCATTGTCAAAAGAGCAAACCACTTCAACTTGATTGTGAACTACGCTTGCATGGTTGAATATAGTGAACGTATAGCATATATCGGAAAGTGGTTGTCAACCTAACTACGTACCTGATATCTGTGATAATTGTGTGTTACGCTCTCCTGTTTGCTTGAGAAAAATCTAATAGAGTGAGAGATGTTTGCTTTTACAACTCACACTGCTCTTCACGTCCTTCAGTTTTGGCAGAATGTCCAAGGTGAAGCCGTCGGCCTGCCCTCGAGACCGGTTACCTCCGTTCATGAAGTTGCCAAAGGCCAGCACCAGGCCAAGCACCTGCAGTACACACTCGCCAGTCTGGAGATTCTAGGACACGCACACACACACACACGCACGCACGCACACACACACACACACACACACACACATGCATGAAAACCAATGAGATCGGGATGATGTGAGAAGATAAAACAGATTGACAGAAAAGAAAATGAAGGGAGAGGAAAGCCAGAGGCTCACCTTGCAGACTCTCTGAAGGATTTCTACTTTACGGAGGATTGAGGTGATACATTCGTGGAAAGTCGACTGAAACAGGATGCAGAACACTCTCTCAGAGAAGTTGGGGATTTGGGATAGCTGGAATAGAAACCTGACAGAGAAAGAAATCTGTCATTAAAAACATCAGTATAAAAAAACAGCTCTCAATGCAGTTATTTTGGTTCAGACAGCAGGTCTCTTACTGTTCAGGCTTGTCGAGAGGTTTGGCATCCTCCTTGCCTTTAGATGATTTAATATGCTTGTTAATGCCGTCCATCTCATCAGCTTGAGCTCTCTGATGAAAGAAAATGTAGATTAGATCACGATTGAAATGAATTGTATACATGCAGTTGATATGTTAAGTAACAAGAAACCTTTTCTAATGTTTAAATATGAATGAATGGATGTTTATATGGAGTCTCAGTTGTCAGAGCTTTGTTTTTTTACTGAAATCAAAGCTAAACTAAGTGTCAGAAAAGCTGACTAAAATGCGGCGTGTGCATAGTTTGATCATAAAAACATCAGGAACGGTTAGAATCCGAGGCCCTGATGCCAAACACATTGGCATAAACGGGAATTATGCTTCTCCGACCAGATGTTGTGAACATACTCGTGTGGTGTTCAAACACATTCTTGTGAGTGTTTCTTTTGTACTTGTATAGATTGGAAATACAATGTGCTTCTCTAAATTGCAGCAGTTTCATGTTAAAGCAAATCACAGTGTAAATTATGGAAAAGGGATGTGAATCAATTTAGTCCTGGTGTCAAACTACTAAAAAGAAACGTGAAATAGACTGGGTTTCTCCATTTAAAGGGGTGAGAGAATGACAAGATGGCTACAGATGGAAGAGGAATTACATTTTTTGTGTTCTGCCGTAACATCCCTTGCTGCAGCTCTTTAAAAATATCAAGAGATTGTGTTGGATCAACCAGCCTTGCTTAAAAGTCCAATATGTAAGACATCTGAATCATAAAATGACCTTACCAAATCATCAGACTTTAAGGACACGTTATGTTGAAGTGCTAGCTTATCTGTCAACATTGCAGTAGCCAGTATTTCCTCCTTCTAAGTTTTGATTTTGTGGAATGTTTTTTGTTGTGTTTTGACCAGAGAAGGTAAGCGGTTTTACTGCACGGCCGAGCATTAGAATGCAGAGAGGTTTAAGGATGGAGGGGGAGCTGGATAAACACTGAAGCTTCAGTGTCCACGACATGACAACCTGCGTGCACATCGACTCTAGGGAGGAAGCGGGCCAGAGGGGACAGCTCTCTTTATTGTTTTGAATTTGGACTGCAGTACCCATTTTAAACACTAGGTGTCAGAATTAAATATTGCTCCTTTAAAGCCCAGGTATGCAGGATGCTTGTTTTGATTGGAAGGTATGCCAATAGGCAAAAAATTGATCCCATTTATCCATTAGCTAGAGGCTACAGGTGAAACACGTTATTCACGTACCATAAAAATATAGTAAAGTTATTTTCAGTGTGCCACGGACTTCTGATTGTTTTTTCCCATTTATCCATTCTTTGCATAATATAATAACCTTCACTTAAAAAACCCTTAAAAAAGTAAGACAGTTTTATTCTATAAAGCAGCAGAAATATCGGCTGCTGGTCCTGTGATATGATCAACATAACCAGAAGACATAATTATTGGACAATGAGGTGACATTTCTTCACTTGCTGTATTCGAAGTCAATAATGAACCTTGAACCTCAACCAGAGGATCTTAAACAACTACACTGACATGCAGGGGTGTAAGCTCAACCGTATGCCAACTACACTCTATGAGTTTCATAAATGCTGAAGCGCTGCCTTCAGCCAGACTACATTCCTGACTGTTATCCTGCTGTCAGGCTCTGAACCACAGTTTTATACAAGGTGGTAGAAGAAAAAAAAGGCCTGAAATGCCCCTTTATTTCACAAGAGGCAAAGACAATAGATGTTAATGTGTCTGACGCAGATGGGCCAAACAATAAAACCATCCCCAGGAAGAAAATGTAAACTCTCTCTCAGCCCGTGGACCCCCAAAGAGTCTCAGCCGTCTGCTCTCTCCTTCTGTTTCTCTCCATCTTTCTCTCTGGGGTACAGCTTCGGCATGGATCCTTGGAAAACTTCAAACGGCAGCATCAAACGCACTGAGGGCCCGATTAGTATTCTACACACCGCTTCCTTCTTTCGACAAGGGCAAGCTCTCCTTCGCCTTCTCTCGAGATGTTTTCAAGTGTAAATATATTTAATACAAAGCAGATCCTTTTCAAAGGGCAGCAGTGAAGCCCAGCAGTGTTTGGTGTAATTGGGGACAAGTAGGCATAAGCGTGTGATCTTTGAATTGCTAGGGCATGTTGCACTGGTTGTTAGCATGAGAAATGCAGTCCCATGTGGAATATCAAATGCAAAAGGGAAAAAAAAGCAGGATGATATTTTTGATGCCAGAATTCAAACTGTAGCCAAGTGGTATTCATTAGCCAGGTTTCGAATGCAGGGCTAAACAGAGCCAGCCAGGGCTTAATCACTATTTATGTCACTCAATTTTCAATGGAACAACATTTATGAGATTATTTGTACATTGAGCTGCCAGAGGAAAGTGTCCAAATGACATATTGCATCATGTAATAAACATGTCAAATATGTTTATACATCACAAGGCCTTGTAGTAGATACAAAAAATAGAAGTACAAGGTGATTATTTGCAGTTCGTAGGAGGGACTCTGGCTCCGACTGACCTCTATGACATTTAGCTACTGTCAGCTAAAAGAAGTCTGAACTTCAGACATCCAGTCTGGGCCCAGATTATGGCTTGTGATATTATAGGGGAGGGAGCGGTGTCCCACTATCACTGTGACCCCTTAAATGGCGGAGGCTTATTGTTCAAAGAACAGGAGTGGCTATAATCCGCAAGAGCATAGACTGAGTGACTCTGTCCCTTGGCCTGTGTGTATGTGTGTTTCTGTCTCTATGTGTGTAGCAGTACAGTATGTGCACATTTGTACGGGTAAAAATGTTTGTTTGTGGGTATGTTTGTGTGTGTGAGACGGAAAAGAGAGTGAGGGAGAGCACTGTGTGATCTGGTTCCTAGCGCAGTGAGCGAGGGTGTAACCATTAGAAGCCCCTTGCATTCCTCAAGACAGGCTGACTGTGCTGCCAACTGTGGTTTAGGGGGCTGGAGACCCACAGACAGGATGGAGTCTCGCAATACAAAAGAGAAACAATTTGGCTCCTTGACTCAATAACACAGCCTCGGGCCATCAGGGGGAGAGAGAGGGAGAGGGAGAGGGAGAGAGAGAGTGAGAGAGTGAGAGAGAGAGAGAGAGCGAGGGCTTGAAGTCTCAGGGTGAGTGGAGAGGTTAGAAGACTTTTGATCCTCAGTTATGACACATTAGTTCATAACTGCAGCTTGTCTCGAGCCTCCGTCTCATTCCCATGATCAACATTATTAATATGCCTCTGGCAGCCAAAGGACCAGGCCTCTCCTGTGTAGTTGTGCCAAAAAGCATTTCTCAGGAATTTCACAGCATCTTAAAACTGTATTCTTGCTGAAATGTGGAAAACATGCCCGTTTTTCATGTTCAATTATTTACTGACCTGCCTTCGAACGGGGCCTGAACCGTATCCACTGTTGGGGTGGAGGGGGGGGGGATTTCCTATCAGTGAAGGTTGATGAATATGTATTTACTGTATACACGGAGCCCTTCAGAGCCATAATAGAGGCATATTGGAAAGTAGCGATGACAGCTCCATAATTCTATTTATGCTAATGTTATACAACACAATGCGGTCATTTCACTTGGCAAAGCTCCTTATAGTCTCTTTTTCTTCATTTTTTAAAACCACATGAGAGCGTTCAAGAGGAGCAGAGTGACCCAAACACAGCACTTTCTAGACTATCATTTCCTTTGGATGACATGAAAAGTAAAGTCATCAGATCCAGTGTAAGGAAAAACGTGTTGACTATGTGAAAGGGCTGCAGCAGATAGACAGACCAACACAAGTCTGATTCTGTCGCCAAACAGCACACATACCAGTATGGTTTGTGGCTTGACTGTTTGTTTTGGTGTCTAATGCACATTTACTTGAGTTCACTCTTTCAAGTGGAAGAACTTCACATATGGAAATAAGTGCACAGTGAAGTAACACCTCTGACTGACAGCCCAAAAAACATGTCACTTTATGTACTAAACACGTTAATTTAATTAAAAAGTATTTTTCCCCTCCTACCATCACTCTATTCAAAACTTTCAGATGTTGATGATCTTCAAAAGTTTGCTTGTGATGGATAGCATTTGGTGTTTTGTGGTTTACCGTCAGTGAAGTGCCAAATATAACAACACTAACAGTTGATGAGAGATTTTTTTTTTTCCGATTTTGTTGATATCAAGGCTTGTTGAGTCCTCTAAGGTTTCATTCTATAATAAAATAATTGCCTGTTATTCATATATGGCATGAAAAGTGTAACCATAAATCATTCTATTTGTCACAAGCAGACAGTTCCAAAATAAGACTTTTTCTGGAAACCACAGAAGAAGAAGAAAAAAGGTTTTCCCAGAGCTAACGTTGCAGTCAAAATCCGCCTGAGCTGTCACTGGTGTTACTTTGTATAATTATACTGGGTTCGTTGCTCAACATTGTGTATTTTTACGATTCTGCATTGGCAGGAAATTGCAGAAATGGATTTTAGTTTGAGGATATTGTCTTTTTGCTGGTCTATTGACTTTGCTGAAAACCACTGTCCGCATTGGCCACGAAAATCCCTCTCAAAGTCAGAAATTTGCAATGTTTAAAAATGTTTATTACTGTTGTAACCATAAAGACATAGCTGCAATTCCAAGCAGCACTTCAGAGTGTTTCTCTACTCACATTTTCATACAGGGCATGCAGAGTCTCCAGATCGACGACAGTGTTGTCCATATTGAGGACGGCTGTAAATGGAACCAGAGGAAGACATGGTTAATGTGAATGTTTGCACGTGATGACAATTCTGTGCTGCCTTCAAGGAACAACATTAACAAGTAAGAAATCAAAGCAGCACAAACAGGCCTCAACTTTTGAATCTCGACATTTTTCTTTCGACTGCATTCACGGACATTGACACCTTTTCAAATCAGAGTTCTGCGTTCCTAGAGCTTCAGCTTAAAAAAAAAGAACATGGACAAAATTCTTCCACATAAAGCACCATGTTCCGTCTGCTGTTAGTTACGTATAGATATCAGCTCTCATCACTATAGCAAAGAAGAGGGGGCCACATGCTAAAACATAAATACAGAGGTCTTAGAAATCTGTCAAAGGTACAGAGATCTGTGTTTGAACTCCTGTGTTTGAATTCCTGGTGTCGCCTTTTTGTCTCGGCGAAGGACCTGGCGCCCTCGAGCATTAATCCTTTGAAAGTAAATGTTTAAAGACAAACAGAGCCCGGGGGTCTGCAGCGTTGAGGCTGAGGTGTTGCTGTATGCACAACCTCTCCGGTGAAGCATTCAACACCTTTATATATATATATATATATATATGCATTTTCATCAGGCGGTGGGTGCCAAATTGCTCACATTGTTTTGATCTGCTGATTTTCCTTGTGAGGTACAAGAGGGAAAGATAGTGTCAGCACGGATAAAGGATCATGAAGTAATGCATCCAATGCAAAATGCACAGTGTTCACTCCATTCACAAATAAAGCTGGGATTTCTAGGAGTGGATTTCTTACAGGCTTTTTCCACCTACACACAGAATAAAGCAGGCGGAGGAGGCATTTGGAAATAAGACCTCAAGTGACTTTTGTACATATCGAAACAGTTCTATGTCAAGTTTTTAGCCTTAATATCTGTCTTTATGTAATCCCTCAGCTTGTTAAATCCCCTCACTCCTTCTTTCCTTGTTCTATGCTGTCACTCTCCAACCTCTTCACACTCTCTCCTCTTCCAGAGCCACCACAAAAACAACTTCCCTCTCTCTTTTCTCGCTCTCTCTCTTCCTCACACTCCCCTCTTGTCACCATTTGGTTTTCATTACAATCTGAACCAGAGTCTGGCTGGCTCCTTTGATTGGAGACGTTTTTTTTTTTAAGACATGGGAGAAAACCGTATCATCGCTCTGACACAGACCTCTTATTACCAAAAGGCAAAACCCATCTGTCTGGGTCTACCCTGTGTACCACATTCAACCCTGGCAGGTTGCCGCCGCCGACCACTGAATGCAGAGCCTAAAAGGAAGCAGACGCAGCACGGAAGTGTCCTATGATACACGTAGAGTGGCGGCCAAGTCTGACAACAAACAACAACAGCTGTGAGGAAAAAGAAAAATGTGTTCTCACTGAGTAATCGAGTGTCATAAAACAGACACGATCGAACTCAGTTGTTCAGATGTTGTTTTTTTCTGTTTCTGAGGTTTTTCTGTTTCTGAGTCAGAGATACTCAAGTGACGAGGGCTTTCACAGTCACTGTCTTAATCAAGAGAAGAAAAAACATGATTCACTTCACGGAAAGAGATGATTACAAATTTTAGATGAGTAAATTCTCCTTTTGAGAACAATTTGTTCTTAAATCTTCAATCATCTTAAATGTTTGACGGCATAAGGGAACATGAGATCATTTCAGGAAATTAGAAAACAATAGCATTGCTTGAATATGAAGTATTCTGGGTGTTCTTCTTTATATGAAATAATGAGTATGGGAAGGCTATAATCCTTCATGCCCACTAATCTTTCCAATTAAATGCATTACATACTAAAACAAAAAACACTGTCTTGGGTTGTTGTTTGTGCAAGGCAGCAGGCATGTCCCTTTTTGGGTGGAACAATAACACGTAATGAGAAGAGGCCTTTTTCCAAACTGTTAAGATATCTTCTCTGTGATCTCACCCGACATGATATACTGAAGTTTCCAATCAGCGCTCATTATGTTCTATGGTATAAACTGTCCTAACATAGGAGACAAATGACATTGCTGATGAGAGTGGCCCTTTCTTGGCCTCCAGTTCTGACCTGAGAAGGAATGCACCAAAGACTGACCTTAACACTGGAAATATAGAGCGTAAAAATCAACATGCTTCAAAATACAGCATAAACATTACGCACAGAGCAACTGTATATTGCTCCAATAATATGTTCAAGCTATAGTTTCTATTGTACAAACTCATTTTATATGCGAGTTAACCAAGCTGCCATGAGAGAAGAGATAAAGGCGTTCTGCAGGAGGCCTGAATAAGACAGGAAGATGAGGACGAGTGTTTAGACGTTCGGATGAGCGAGGACTGGAGAGCAATCAGAGAGAAACTCAAACAGGAAAACAGTCGGTTCCCATCATCGTCTCCTGAATGACTTCACTTTAACAAAGCCGTTTAGACAAGATGGTGACAACTCATCAGAGGAAGATAGAGAGGGGCGGAGGAACATGATGTGGATGTTAGGCGGGACGGCGGGGAGGTGGGGGTGGGGGGTTATGCAAAATGTAAGCAAAGAAAGACAGACAGGAGAAGAATAACAAAAGGATAAAACCTTTTATTAAGAGTTTTTTTAAAGACTGTAACTTGGGATAAAGCTTCATATTGGAGCAAGGTATGAGCTTGCTTGCTTATCACTTATCATAAAAATCACATGCCGCGGACAAAGCATTTAGATGCAGCATTTGGGGTTCAGTGTCTTGCCCAATGACACTTTGACATTGCTGCTACAAATCTATCTTAATATTCATTAATGTTGCTCTGATTGTCTCTGTCCTCCTTCCTGCAACTCCCTCCTCTCTCTATCCCACTTTTCAATCCCAACACAGTTCGGCAGATGGCTGTTCATCGTGAGTCTGGTTTTGCTCGAGGTTTCTGCCTCTTAAAGGAAGATTTTTCTTTGCTAAATGTTGCTTAGTGCTGTGTTGATGACGGATTAATGTTGTGTCTTTGTGTATAATATAACAAAGAGTAAAGTCTTATACCTGTTCCTTAGTCTTCAAATAACATTTGGTATTAATTGGGTCTACACAAGTAAAGATTGACAGATTGATTGACTGATTCGACAAATGACTGCAGGAACTGGGGATCATTCCCTTGACATTCTTTTTGAGAGCCGAAGAACTCTACCTCTCAGCCACAGCTGCAACGCTTTCCACCTACACATGTTGATCACATATTAATAAAGCACTCAATTCATCCATGTGAAGCGCATCTTTCTTATATCACATACAAAGTTTATTTTGCGACCTTCTCAAAAAGAACAAGAGGATGCGTTAGCAGCCATGAAAGGAGCTCAATGATGAATTCTTCAGGCATGGTTTTGTTTTGAGCTAAATATAGCATCAGCATGCTAACAAGCTGGTGATTTTTTTTTTAGGTTATATTTTTGGGCTTTTAACTTTTATTCGACAGCTAAAGAGAGGACAGGACATAACCGCTAGGATATCTGGCGCCCCAAGACGGTGATTTTAAAGCTGTATAAAACTGACACCCATTGTCAACAGTTGGCTTGTTAGTTAGTTTTTCAGGAAACACTCAAAACTGGTGCTACTGTATATGTAACGTTACCAAATATATTCATATTGATTCTGAGAACAACATAAATGTTCCAAAGCTTGAGTTAAATCCTTAAATAGTATTGACACATTTCACCCAAAACTTCAAGTCAACATCACGGTAGAGTATGGTGGAAAGTCAGAAAGACATCGCCATGTCATCAAAGTCATGAAAATTCGTTCACTGGGATCCATCTGTGTTAGATTGAAGATTGGTAACCCATTTAGTGGCTGAAACTTTCAGTCAGGACCAAAGGGGATGGAGATACACCATGAAGTGCCGACAGAGGTTTGATTTTCTGTCGTATTAAGACAGTTAAACCAACAAACACAGCACTATTATACTGTGTGTGTGTATGTGTGGTTTTTTTTTTTAAAGTTTTTGATTAGCAGAAATTAATCTCTCATAAACTTAAAACTGAAAAAATGCTGCTGATCTATTTCCATTTGATCACTTTTACCATAGCAGTGGTGTTCACGATATGACCTGCACACTTTAGTACATAAAGGTTATACTGACATCACATTTTTTCATCAGTCATGCAATTTTCCAAGAATTTGTGACAGAAATTCTTCCCCGAAAATCCAGTAACAAAAAGGTAGAAATGTAACAATACCACTTACCATTGTGGATATCCTTCATATCAAGGTGAATGCTGGACATAAGAATACCCACAGCCTGCGAACGCTTGTTGCTCAAGAGCTTCACCACCTGAGAGATGAGACATAAGGAAGTGAACAGCAGGGTTATACAAGGCCAAAGAGAACAGAAATGTTAATATTCCATTTACTATCACATGCACACACACACACACACACACACACAGACAAACCCACACACAAAAGACTGGAAACCCAAAACAGGAACATCACTCCCCTTTGTCTGTTTTCTTCTGTGGGAGGAAAACGAAAGACTATTCAACCGCAGACATTAGGAAATTAAAAGGCCGCCTAGCTGAATTATAATGAAAAATAATTTTCCTCTTTCTTTTCCTCCAATTCTCCACATCCATCATTTTAAAGTTCTTCAAATAAATACTTTTAACCAACAACAGGCAAACTAAGTGGAGTAGTGCCACAAACATTCAAAGTTCTGCTTCAGTAAATACAAATACCTCCGAGTCAAAACTATTGTTCCCTAAAATCCAAACTGCTCCAAAATATTTTTTTTAGAAATAAATGTTTGGTGCATAATGGTGGCTTCCACTTGACAAACAGCCAGGAGTTGAAAATCAAGCCCAGTGTTGTTATTATGCATGAAAAACCTCATCCAAGGGAGCCGTTATGAACCACATCTCGCTTGAGTTAGAAGAAGTGTGCGTCAAGTATCAAAATAGTGAAAGAACAGGCATGAAACCTGTAACCCACTGTGATCCAGACTGAATGCTTCCATCAAAACCAGATCACACAGACCACAGACCCCTCAAACACCCATGAACTTATATCACCAGGCCCCACATTTCTCCGTTTTCCAGCTCAAACGAAATTTTCAGGGGACAGAGTGTACGTGATATAATGGCGAAAGGCTTCCATGGTGAGCCTGGGATCGCTTGTGAAGGTTAGCTGCTAACTGGTAGTGAATAAAAAATAAATTAGTCATGTTTAGTCCGCTAATACGACCCTCACTAATCTACAAACAGGTTAAAGTTATGTAAAACAGATTTCACTGGTTTACTGAAGAGCTTAATAAAGAGAGACAATCAGTACTGCGGTAAGGACAATTTGAAGTGAACGCTTCATGCCCACTTTTCTAAAAATAAAACAAAAATTTGAAACAGAAATGATTGTAGTTTATCCATGTTTGTAACTTGGAGCTTTAGCAGTGAATTGCTTAGCTCATTGAGACATTTAAGGCATTTTAAATCACTTATTTCAAGTAAGTAACTTTTTTAGTTTGTATTTAGTGCGATTAAAACCTTTAGGAGATACCATTATCTTTCATTTTCAGGCCCAAAAGATGTCAGCTAACTCCAGAACTTGCCTGAAAATCATCAGGTTCGACTTTTCTTCAGGTATTGCAGTGATAGCTGTCAGCTTAGTTGTTGTCATATTATCAATAGTAACTTCTTATAAGTATTTCTGATCAAAATGTAGTCCGTGAATTCTCCTCCACTCAGTGGCAACACTATGTTTCCAGTCTACCAAAGCATGATGGGAACTTTCACTGAAAAATGTGTAATGTAATGAATGATGGGAGTGGGGAAAAGAAGTGGAGAAATACATAGAAACAAGTTAAGTAGTTGAAGGCTCCATCTTTTAATGTAGGGTCTGCAGAATTAGACTGTTAAAGCCCCTGGATAATCGCATTAATGGAACGTTAATCTGCGGTTTATTTACCAAGGAAGTGATCGATGAATTGGGGGACAAATTAGCAAATGAATCATTAAAATAAAAAACTGTCATTAGGTGTAGCCCTCCAGTCCTCCTCCGTTGACCTGCTAACAGAAATCGTCCTTCATACATACAGGTTGGAAACTGAAAGCATCTTAAACTGTATGTTAGCATTCATCTGACATGAATTGAAATTGCATATTGCATCTCAAAAATCCAGCAATAGTCTAAACATTGGTAGGTTGATCTCGAGTGCCAAGAAAAAAAAAAACCCAAACTTCCATCTCAAACCACAAATGTCAAATAAAGTAGCAAAACATTATTTAACTCCATTTCACCTCCATTTGAAAAGGACAGCAACATATAGTGTGAGACAGCTCCCTTTTTAAACCTGTCTGCACTCAGACAGCAGGGTCAGCATCTGACAGCAGGTGTCTCTGGTAATATTTCTCCCCATTACACTGACACTGATGTCAGCAGAGGCCTCTAAATTGGTAGTACTGACGTCAAAGCTGCTCTCTAGTGGTGGCTGTGGAGAGGACGCTTGTGTCCTCTCATCAGAAAAACTGTTGAACTAACAACACACAGGGGAAGAGCTGTACTGTAGTAGGAGATGGCAGTGATTGTGCTTCATTAGAAGGAAATGTCAGAGGTCAGCTCCAGCATGAGGTCAGTCAGTTTTGAGTGTGCTTTTTAAATTGATTTTATTATCTTCTGCATCGTTTTGTGTTTATGAACTTCCACACCAATAGAATGCAGAAAGGGTCGAGGCACACCTGCCACCTCTTACAATTCAGCCAAACAACTACAACATTGTCTGCTTCATGATGTTGTTGTCAACTTACTTAAAGCTCTATCAGTCAGAACAGCACACAATAGAAAGTTGTATTACATTAGAGGACACTCATTCTGGTTGTCCTATATCCCTGCTGAAGCAGAAGTTTTTTACCTTTTTCCTGTCTCTCAGGTTTTAAAGAAACCACCTGACCGCTCAGAGAGTGTCAACATGCTATGTGATGGCTTTTTTTTATGGAATTATTGTGATGGATTAAGTCACATAGTTTATCTGCTGTTTCCCTTTGCTGTTGGCATTGTTTTCTATTGAATAAAAGTTGCAAGATGAGGTTTTTTTTCTCTCCTTTTCTTATGATTTTTTACACTTGATGGTTGATGGTGGTGACATTGAAGATTACATAATTCTAGAAAACATTGAGCATGGCAAAGGTTTCACATGGAATAAGACACTAAGAAACTGGGGCACTGGATAGCCTAGAGCATTGATCCTCACAGTGAGGCGCATGCCTCTAAGAGCAAACCTGAAGTTATGACAGGTGAGGGCGCGGCAAGGCTAAATAAAAACAATGCACATCGTTTTGTACTGCTAGCAAAGAATGGCTGGACATTGAAGATGAAGTAAGAGTAGCAATCTTACAGCAGCACCCCAGACTTGAGAAAATCTGTATCACAAAACAAGCCCGAACTGTTCATTGAAATTATTGCAGGTCGGGAAGTATATATCTTAATTTAAAATGTCATCATTTTCATTGATTTTTTAGGGAGTTGTTTATCTTCAGAGAGTCAGGTTTTAAAAGAATCTGTTTAAAGCAATGACTGTTGTTAAATGTACAACATTTGGAAGTTTCATGTTGCAGTATCACTTTTGATTGCTTCCTCTGTTAAAGCCACTTGTTAGTTTTTTCAGTTTGTTGTCACACTGAAGTAACTATTCTGTCATTTTTGCAGTCAATGTTTAAGATATATTCTAATAAATTATTGTTTGTGAGCGTGACTCACATTGTGTTTACTGTATATGGATATATGTTTATGTGTCGATGTGTATGGTGAGGGGTGGGGGGGGGCTTGACAATATTTTTATCTGCCAAAAGGGGGCCCAGCAGAAACAGTTTTGGAACCACTGACCTAAAGGTTACATCACACACCCCATGTACAGAGGTTGTAGTCCTCGAAGCAAGCAGCCGGTGTTAGACTCCGACCCTCGGCCGAATGTCAATCCCCAATCTCTCATCCACTCTCCTATCTATCTCTTGTCCTATTATCCACGATTAAAAACATAAAGGCCCAAATAATCTTTGAAAAAAAAGCAATAGGAATCCGTGGATCATCAAGTGTCAGAAAAGTTGTTTTGATGTATTCCTTATGGATGAACTTAGAATATGTCAAATTTCATCACTATTTTGTGAGACTTCATTGTTTTACACAACATTTAAGCTCAGGCAAATAATAACTTTTAAATTCACAACATTTTTGTTTTTCAAATCTCAAATGTCAAATGAATAAGCATTTAAAATACAAAAAAAAACCTCACTGTGACCAGTTACAAAAAAGTCTCCTACAGCCTTAAGTGGGATAGTGCTTGTCTTAGAGTAACTTAAATAATGCCACTTTAGAAATTTTAAAGAAACTAATAATAATAATAATACGTCTTTAGAAAAAAAACTAAATTATATATCTAGTATTACTTTTATCGTTAACATTTTGATGGTAGAGGAGTTAAACCATGGTTAAATCAATCTTAAATCAGGTCTGGAATTCAACTGGAACCTTTTTGCAGACAGATTTATGTTTTGTTGTTATATTTCAATTCATCACTACCCATAAACTGAGAGATTTCCCGACAGCGTGACTGCCTCTGAGCAACATTTCATCTCAGCGACTGCCGGGTCTCTATTAGAGGGGCTGAAATGTTTTTCTCTGCTGCAACGTTATTTATGATTTAAGGCACATAATGGGGTAAATAGTACATTTACATAAAAATCTTGACTGGAACAGCTTTAAATTGTAGATCAAATAGTTGACTTGCAGATTGATGGAGTGACATAAAGGGCATTGGGGAGGCAAACATGAAACTAAGTCATACAGAAAGCACAATGGGAGGAACCACATCACGATATACGGCTCCCAGGCTTCTCCCTCCCCCACTTTTTTTCCTCCCTTCTCTCAATAGTCATCACCGTCGTGAGGTTTCCTCACCGCACGCGAGACTTTGGCTCGGTGCCACTGGATGGTCATGGGGGAGTCGGGTGGGAGCCAGAGCTCACACCACATAATCACTGTCTGGCTGTAGCAGTTCCTCCTGTCACTCAAAGCAGCTTGGAGAGTGGAGAGACGGAAAGGAGCGGGGCATCGGATGAGTTACAACAAAGATTGGAAAAAAACCACCATATTTGGTGGCCAAGGAGACGCAAAACACTAAACACACACATGTATAAGCGCAAAAAAGATATTTGTGTTTGTTTGACGCATATAGAGACAAACACAAAATGACCAACACATAGAGGAACAACATGAGAAGATACTGTACCTGCTTGGCCTTGGACTTGCTGATTGTGTCCGAAATTGGCTTTTTCTTTTCCTTAACAGCACTTTTGGAGAATAGCTCCACAAATTCTTCAAAATTCACACTTGGTTCTTCGATTTTCTCCCACACAATTGAGCCTACGGGTCTAAAGACAGAAGAATAATGAGAGAATTATCTACAGTGCATATAGGAAAACTCTAATTAGCCATGAACGGTTGGAAAAAGTCCACTCTGATGTTCAAATTTATGCTGCTGATAATTCTTCATACCCTTCTGTTTTTTTTATTATCACTCTTGTCATTTCTTTCAGAGTAAAATTAAATACACTTGTGGAATAATTCAGGCTACGAATAATATTTAGCATTCAGTATCAACTTTCACTCTTGCAAGTAAATCAGGTAGCCTATTCCTAGATGTTTATTCAGCAAAAATACCGAGCCCTTTTAAGGAATGAAAACCCCGGTTCAAGTCTATTCAATGCTGACCACAATGCCTGGACTACATCACTTGTATTTTCCACAAGGTTACCGTCACAGTGCGTGGGCGATCTTTATCTTAAGTGGACAAGCTTCCTCTCAATTCTCTACTGTTCAGAGAATACCTGCGTGCAAATGATCCATATCTATCTTCACTGTTATAACAGCATATCCTTACTTTTTAGCATGGAGCTGTATGCGGGTCCAGTACAGCGGCTTCATTGGCTTGGGGGGCTCGATTGCTGCCTTGGCAGGGGCAGCTTCCTGAACCATCATAGAGGGCATGAGGCCTGGTGGAGGTGGAGGCCCAAAGCCTGGGGGTGGGGGTGGAGGAGGGGGGCCCATTCCAGGTGGAGGGGGCGGCGGTGGAGGGCCAAAACCAGGTGGTGGAGGGGGAGGTGGAGGACCAAAACCTGGTGGTGGAGGAGGTGGAGGTGGTGGTGGACAGGATCCAAGTCCAAGTAAGGGAGGGGGAGGTGGTGGTGGAGGAGGGGCAACACCTCCTGGTAAAGGTGGTGGAGGAGGAGGTGGAGGAGGGGGGAGCACCACCAAAGATTGGAGGAGGAGGAGGAGGTGGTGGTTGGAGGCTGCTTTGAGTCTTCTGCTGGCACATGCAAACAAAACTCTCAGATTTGGGGATGGCGGATGAAACAGAGGATGACACAGCCCCTGATCCTCCGCTGGAAGGCACAAACTTAAACCCGTCCTCCACGGGCGACGTCTGCACAGATATTTCCTTGCTCGTCTTTGCTAACAGCCCTCTTCTCATCTGTGAGGCGTTGTGGCTGGTAGCGCCCGGGGCTCCAGCATTAGCCAAGGAGGCCTGCTGGCCCTGCAATAGAGCGATCTTAATCCGCAGGTCATCGATGGTCCTCTCCAGCTGAGGGATGAGACAGCTTTCATCCTCTGAGGAAGACTGACCTGATTTCAACCTGCATGATTCTGTCTGTCAGCAAACAAAAATACACATAATTTAGCAAGCAAACACATCAGGGTTAAAAACTTGAAACTGGAGGAAACCAAAACAACAAATCTGTGCTTTTCCTTTATGAAACTATCCAATAAAGCCTTTTTATTTTTTTGGAAAACATTATGCCAAATCTGCTGTTAAATCTTAGACACGTTCTCATTCAATATGTAGCACTTTATTAAAACTACATCACCCACAACTGAGGCAGCGAAGTGACACAGTTATGAGCCGAAGAAGGGTCAAGAAAGTCTATTAAGTCTAGACAACATCAGACCTCTGGCTCCAGTCTGGTTAGTGCAGGGATGAGGGGATAGTGAGGGATTTGACCCGAGAGACAGTGAGTCTCGTTGGGCCTCACATGGGGATGGTCCGTGTCTACTAGCAAAATTCCCCACTTGTGGTTACATCGTTGGCTCTTGAATGTTTAGGCAGTATGGACTCATTCTCATTTATTAACGCAGCTGGGAAACAGGGAGGTTCACTAAGCTATTGTAACAGGTCTTTAAAGACAAGCCTGACCTCTGGTGGACAAAGAAGAACTTACAGCTGGGGCTCACTGATTGAGCCAAATTATAAGTAACAAAACAGAGATTCAGTTTTCTTAAATCTTTGACAAGTCATACAGGTCTTGTAGTTCCAGATTCAAAATCAAGTTTAATATGCATCCCTTAATTATCCTGTATAAATACAATGGAATTGCATTTCTTAAATATGTGGCTTTAACTAACTAACCTTCCAATCTTACGCTTTAATTCCACCTTTTCTGCCTTTTATTTAAAGTTTAATTTTGAGTAATTTCTTTAAAAAAAAAAAAAAAAATTGAATGAAATCACTCCCACAATTCTTTCTGTGTAGCACAGAAGAAAAACAAATTACTGATTTAAGGATGAGGAAAAACACTTTATAATCCATATACCGTAACTTTGATCTAACAATGGCTTCATCCACTTAGTATCCTGCACAATATGCAGGACCATTTGCTAACTGTGTGTGCTGAAAATTATACAATATTCTCTTTGCATCTACAGTATACGTTTAATTTGTATATGTGGAATTAGTTTAACAGTAATTATAAAGGACATCATGTAAGAGGCAGCCCTATGCTATAAAATACATTCACAATTTCTCAATACATGCATAATAAAATGCAGGAAAATGTTTTTATAGTGCATGATTAAACTGAATGTACCATTTCCAGTCATAAATGGATTGTAAAGATAATGGTTTTGTATATAGAGTTTAATTCTAGCAGTAAACTACCAGCATCTTCTCATTAGTGTATAAAGCACATAATTAAACAAGGAAGCAAACATAAACGTTCCAAATACAAAAGAACAAACCTAAATGGCTATTTCCTTATTCATGACTTCCTATATGTATTTATGTCAAAGGTAAATAGAAGGAAGGTGATCTCTAATGTTAGCAATAAAACAGAGGCTCTACTATAAATCTAAGCAAACCCTAAACAGAGTGTAGACAGGGTGAGCATGCTGTAAAGCATTTATAGTTAAAGAATGTAACACACCTGAGAGTGGAGGGCTCCTGGGGTCTTAGCTGATGACTGATTTAAAGTGGATCTGAAGCTCTGCTCTCTGCCTGTGGTCCGCCCCCCATACAGCTCCCACAGGTGAGAAGACACTGGCAGGCCTACAGTGGCCCACGTGTACAGCTGCTCCTCCTGCACACAGATAACAATACAAGTCAGAGCATATGCTGTAAATGAGGTTAGATGTTTGTGCTTAAAACTACAAGGTCCCACCAGGGACTAGTTCCAACTATATATAGCAAACAGTGTGTACAGATGGTGGGATGTACCATAATTAAAGGTTAATAACATCCGCCAGGGGTGGGAGCGATATGGTTACAATATCTGAAACTTAATGTGTGGAAACCATTAATCATCTTGCCTTCATTGATCCTTCATGAACCTTATATTCCCCCCACACACTACTAAACAGTCTGGGGAAACAGACAGACTTCATTTATTAAGTAATGATCAAAACTAAGCCTAATAACAAATTGAAATAATTACATCTGCATTCATTCTAACACCCCCCCCCCCCCCCCCCCGACTATTTAATTGGACCAATATATAATTACATGAATATATGTATGGAATACCGAACTTAACATGCATTGGCATGAGACTGCAGAGCTTTGCAGCAGCAGTTTTCAAATTGTTCTAAACTTTAAACTATATATATATATATATATATATATATATATATATATATATATATATTTTACATCAAATTATAAGTCAAAGATAATACAAAAAGGTACGCTACAACTATCATCCACGACATAGTTAGGTTCATTCTGAGGACCTGGTTGTAAAGGTGTTCTTAAAAGTGTAAAAGTGCTTGATGAAGTTATTCCACAAAATGAATAAACTTCCTTTGTTTTTCTTTCATCCTTGGAGGTTTCATTTTCCCAATTACTGCAGAGCTTATGGTATAGTAAAGATACATACAAACACGTGTAAAAAGGAGGATGCCGATTTAAACTGAGTTGTTATATGCTCATTTATTCATTGCACAAACAGCTATTTTTTAGCTGAATGAGGTTGATGGACTTTTCAGTGTAAGGGGCAGAATAAGAAACACATCACTCTAAGTGTGGGGAAAAACAGGAGATGAGAGAGAAGGCTGGATATTTTAAGACAGGAAAATGGAAAAAGAGAAGACAAAGGTGCTGTAGTAGGTAATGAAATTAAAGATGGAATTAAGCTAAAACAGGAAAAATAATTTGAAAGTTAAAGGTGAATGTTTTAGTTGAATAGGTCCAAGAGATCAACTATGTTTTTTTTTTAAAAAGGGAGATCGTTGTGAGAAAGAAAGCAACAACAATGACATCCTACTGTGAAAAGAAACAGCAAAGGTTATTCTTGGTCAAGTTAAATAATGCAGACTCCGGGCCAAGTCCTACACTGAAGTAGACAGAGACTGGACACAGACACAGACACACACAGACACACACACAGACACACACACAGACACACACACACACACACAGACACACACACACCACACACACACACACACACACACAGAAACAAAAAAAAAATCAACAAAAGAAGAGGGGGCATCAGTCCAATCCTGACATGGAGAGCTTTTAGCTGGGGAAGAGCAGACTGAGCTCAGGGCACGTGGAGTGGTTACATAACACGGTCAGCAGATGGTCTACGCAAGCACAGATCTGTGTGTGTGTGGTGTGTATGTTTGTATTTGTGTGTGTGACTAAGAGTAGTGTCACAGGGACTGCTTTAATCCAACCATGCAAGGAAATGCCTGAACATGTACAGTGTCCTAGGCTCTCCTTTTATAAAGGAAGTAGTACACATGTGGCATGGTTGTACATAAAAAGAAGTGCTCTGCCATTGTGGTAAATTGCAACTGTACAAGAGGGGAGGAGAATAAGACGCTTATTTAAGGGATGCATTCATTTGAACACCTCAAGAGCATGCATGATCTGGTGTGTGACTCTTTTTTTCTGTTCATATGTTGTTGTTTGTACTGAGCTATGCATATTGCCCCTTTGTGTTCTTATGAGCATGATAAGTAAATGTCCATGCACGTTCGTCTGTGGGGGAGGTGCACTGAGCAGCCAGCCCTAATCTGTTTACTTTCATTGGTATTAAACTGAGAAAAACAACAAGAGCAGGAGTCTAAAGTCAGGGTCATCCATAAGTCCCCATGGTCGTACAGTATGTTCCCCACAGTTCTTTATTCACTTACATTTAAGATATATGTACACGCTATCTATGCAGTTATAGTATGAACATAAGAATGGGGGAATGGCATTTCAAATGCAGTTATCTGTGTTCAATGGTTATCAATGTTTAAAAACATGTTTAAAGTGCACCCCCACAGCCAAGCTAGCAGCTATGTTAGCCTAAACTAAGATAAAGCAGAGCCTTGAGCTAAATACAAACATCAGCATGCTAGCATGGTCATGAAGAGAGCATAAATGAAATTGAAAGGTCTTCTAACTGTGTGATATCAGAAGACTAATGAGCCCGGGAACACACTAGCAGCTCAGTTAGTCTGTTCTTAATGACACAGCAGGGCTTTATGCTAAACAGCCACAACATTAGCATGCTAGCACGGTGATAAAGACTAGTCTGATGTGTTAATGCTAAATAACTTATGTTTACCATAAAAGCATGAGAGCATTAAAAATCGCAAAGTACTTAAAAAAAAACACAAAGTACAGATGAGGCTGAAAATATTTCGAATAGTTTTGTGGGTATTTGCCATGTATGTAGAATACAGTTCATTTGTTGTAGAGATACGACAGAAAAAAATATTAACTCTAGAAAATCTTTAGATCACAGCGATTCATCCTACATGTCTATTATATTCATGGCTACCTCCCAGTATTTATCACAAGGTTTGAAAAAAAGGTTTGACATGCCTGAAATGTCAGCTGTGCATCCATAATGGTAGTGTAGGCCAAATTAACATAAATTATAATAGGTGGGAAATTCACATTTTTTTCAGCGCCATATTTTAAAATCAGGTATCTCCATTAATGCTCAAAGCTTTAATAGCATCAATTACTCAGGCTAGTGAGCTGCATTTCAAATCCACGCTTAGTTAATATAAAATAAGATCAGTAATATACACATAATGAAGCTAGTGAGGTTCCTATCTCTACTAGAAAGCAATATTGCTCATGCCTGATTTTTTAAATGTACTAACATGTTATTCAGCTGGGTGGATCCATGCAGCAAAAGGATAATTTGATAGAAATGGCTCTGAAAGTGGCTGTGGTGAACTGTTCACTGTGAACATATGAGATTATGTCTGAGCCAAGCATTACTGGGATGGAGAATTAAAGATTCATGAAGTTAACTTCACATGGTCAGCCTGTCTTACATGCACATCTGCTCTCCATATAATTAGACGTCTATGGGAGGAATCACAGTAAAACAGCAATGGATATAGAAACACAGATTGGAACAGCTTTGCATGAAGCTGATGATAGATTACTTTGAGCTTCTGTACATTCTTGGAGGTTATCATTTGATAGGCACATGCTCTCTTTTACCAGCCTTACCAGCTTTAACAGCCCTTGTAAGGCTTTTCCTCAGGAATAAATTGCAATGAAAAGTTAGTTTAACAAATGGAAATCACTTTGACTTCCAGCCTTTGAGAATTTCATCACAATCTTATAGATTTAGACAGAAATGGAGCTGGGTACAGTAGCTGCAATTATTGCTTCTTGAAGTGTAAAATGTTGACCTTTCTATTCGTAACATTTGCAATGGATCTCCTATAGTAGGCTAGCATAAAAATCAATGCTGCACAGAAATGCCATCTCTCCTCTTCTTTAAAAAGACTTGATCTGGACAAAAACCTCTGCGAAGTCAGTTTATGTTAGGGTGATGCAATGCAACTCAAAAACAAGGTCTTACATTGAAGACTGTGGATACAGTGCTTCCACCATGTAGCTCTGCGGTGCTGTCACTGAAGGGGTGCAGCAGACCTTGGACCAACATTCGGTGACAGAATTCCTTCGCCTCCTCTTCTGCAGAGCCATCTCCATGATGCGTGCACAGCCGGTCCAACAGAGTGCGACCTGAGAACAGAGGAGAAGTGAAGCGGAAGAATACTAATGAAACAACAGGCTCCAAATTTTTTTATGCTGGAGAAGGATATTCAGACAAATGAATGTACGTTCTTGTACTTAATTTTGGATAAGTCAACATATAAAGTGGATAACATGTTATCTATAGCAAAGACTAAAAGAGAAAATTCTCAGTTTCAGAAGTGATAATTAAACACCTACACATGCAAACTCTCTTCACACCATTTACATGTGGGTGATAAGACTATTGGTGTTACTGTTCAGTGCAAAGATTTACAAAAGCTAAATGACATTCAAAGTACAAGTTAGCAGTACATCTAACTGTATTCTTTCCTGTTTTTAAAATATGATGTTTTGGTGGATGAACTTGTGTACGTGTTACAGGGATTATTCGTTCTAAATGTACAGTATATATAATGCACTGAAAAACGCTGTAGATTCTGTCTGATTATTGAATGACAAGAATGGTCATGATCTCCAGATCCCTGAGCAGGTTTTGGATCCGAGATAAGGAACAATCTGCTTTTTTCCTCAAAGTCAAACCATGACACAATGCGCAATCACACTGGGTTGATATATTTTTTAAAACATGTGATTCAGGAGTAAACACAGAATGAATGAATAAGCTAAGTCATATGACTCAGTATCCTGTGGTCGATGATTAGAGTACTGGGGGCTTCAAAATTGTGTTTAGTGAATTTTGTGATGTAATCCACACAAACAAATACAACTGTTAAGACACACAATTTACTCTAACATGAATCCAGAGTCATATCAGGTCACTTTCAGTCATTCAAAGACTGAGTTATGTAATCGGTTTCAGTGAATGTGTTATTTTCTAACAATTTCATGGGATTTTTTTACTTCTGCACTTGACTTCGCATTTTCCAAACCCCTCTTCTCTCCTTTCACATCCTTGGACATACAGTAACCTCTAAAACTCCTGAACTGATCAGTACAGCATACCGCATGTCCTAGCATGAAATGTTACACAGGTCAAATGTTGCTGTTTGGGGGCATTTTAGGTTTATTGGACCTCCTTTACTTGGCTCCAGTAAATACGGAATGCAAATGGTTTTCATATCATGACTTATTTTTGTCATGCAGATAAACTGCCACTTTGGTTTAGCATCCACAAGTGTAGACTGTGTGTGTGAGTGTGTGCATGTGATTTTTTTGTGTCTCAGACAGTGGAATGAGAGGATGGCATAGCCTCGGGTGGGTGGCAGTGTTGTCATTTGGTCCTTTGATTTATGGGCAAGGGCTCAGACATTGGAGAGCAGCTGAGCTTTTGAAAGGCACTACAACAGACATGAGAACAAAGTGTCATTGTTTTATGAGAACAACCCTTTTGTTCTGAAGACACTTCTCAATAAAGAACCACCACTGTTTCATCATAGTTTTCATGAGCTTGAAAAACAACTTTGCTATTCAAGATGTCATAATGTGTGTAATGTCATAATTTGTAAGTCATTAGAAATTAAATCACGGGGCAATTACCATAATGATTTCACAGCACCATTGCATAATAACTTAATCTAAAATGAGGATGGGGCTTAAGACCAAGCAAATACTAGTTAAATCCACCCCATCAGGGATTCCAAGCAATAAGGAAGTACTTTTTTCCCACTCTGGTGCTTTGTGAAAGCAGAGAAGTATTTTGATGAAAATGATTTTCTACCACATTGAAGGGGAGTCTTGTGGACAAAAAACAATAGATTATTCCTGTCATCAGGTGTGGCTTGTATTGACTAAAATATGATTATGTGTATCCCATATGTCACAGATCTTCAACGTTGTCAACAACAACGAATAATCCTCTCTAAATCCAACCATTAAGCTAGTGATATGTTCGAATAATTTTGTGTAAACTTGTCTATTTTGATAAATTTGCCACAACAACAGTCGTGACTGGATAAAGTTCACACAAATCAAATTGGTTAATTTGTTTTAATTACTTGCCAAATAACACAGTGCCCAGCTATTTTATTTTAACTACTTACTTTTTGCATGAGCAAGCTTCACTTCTACAGTTGGGTCCAATAGTCATTAAGCCGAATTTTGGCTTAATGACCATTAAGAAGCTGATATAAATTGTTTTAGTCTTTTTAATTGGATTTGGTGACAATAGAAACATTTATATTATCACCAGCCTAATTTTTGTTTTTGGTCTTTTTGAATATCCATACTAAGACTGGGGTTTAATATGGGCTTCATCCAGAAATTGATGATAAAGCATTTTTGTTCAAAATTTTACAGGTGCCTCTTCAATCACAGTTTCCACTGGGGACAGACATTCTGGCACCTTTCCATTCATATTTTCCTCCATCCATGTAACATCCCATTGGTTCAAGTCAGCCCACTCCCTTCCGGGTACATACCATCCAATCATTAAGCCCCAAAATACCATAACTTCTGTCCTACCTTACTAGGGCCAAACTAGCCACATCTCAAAGTAAAAAGTTGTTATTTCAATAAGTTTCAGCCACTACTAGAGGCATACATTGCCATCCAGAATAATTGCCATGATAGCAAGCATGTGGGGGGTCCATATGGCGTTATGTTACTTATGAATATTGTATAAATTTTAATTATCAGTAATTATTTGGAAAGAGATTAGGGTATTATTAACAGTTCTTGATCTCCAGGACATGTATAAACAGTTCAGCCACCTGTGTGATATGTGACTCACCAGAGAAGACATCAAGGTAGGGTACTGTGGACATGGAACTCTTCCTTCCATGATGTGCTCTCCTGGAGCCCAGAGTCCAGTAAGTCCCGCTTGCTTGACTCTTTTCTATTGTCTCCGGCTCTGAGAATTTGTCTCCATCACACTGCCTTGCTCTAAGCTCCTCCAGCTCTGTGAGCCAGTCCGTGGACGCTCCGAATGGCCCGGCAATGGAGCAGGACCTCTGCTTGTGCCTCCTAAATTGTTGGGCCCTGCTGGACTCCACTGCACCAATGGTGACATCTATTTTCCTGGGCACATTGGGGCTGGTAATGGGAGAGCCAATTGGAGAGGTGAGTTGCCTGGTAGTGGTCTTAACATAAGAGGGGTGGACTGGAGGGTAGAGTTTGACAGTGGATGGGGAGGTTGAGGACTTCCGTCTCGTCTGAGAACTAGGGATGATGTCCGGTGTTAGCTGGCTGAAAGACATACTACTCTTCCTCCTTTTCAGTGACAGGAAGTCACGTCTTCGAATGTCTTCCTCCTCCCCCTCCCTCTCAATTGACAAGTCCATGCTACTCACACTCTTGTGACACCCAATCGGCCCTGCTCCTGCCACCACAGGATCCAACCTGACACATGGCACACACAGAGTTCCTTGACCATTTGGGTGCAAAACGGGACTCTCCAGGTCATCCTGGGGCTCCTCAGCGCTCTCATATGAGGTGTTGGTGGTGGTGGTAGTTTCATGGAAGCTATATGTGCTGTTTGTTTTGGGGAAAATGCTACCACTGCTTCTTTCTGTGTCTGGTGTTGATGATGGTGGACCACTCCCACTCAAGGATCCTGGACCAGATGAATTCCTTGATATGGGTATTTCACAACTGTCGTTCTCTAATTTCTTATTCTCTTCTAGAGGCACACATTCTCTGGCAACGGTGGGAGCGGAAACATCTGTATCCAGATCAGAACACAGCTCAGATGGTACTTTCTCAGGGGGTTTGTCCCTCTCAGAGATCAAACTTTCAGCCACCATTTCCAGTACCTTTTCACTGGCGACACATTGGTCTCTAATGGCCTGCTGGATGTCGGAGAGCAGGTCTTCATTTTCAGCAGCTGCTGAGTGAAAACTGTAGAGGTCAGCATCGGAGCCTGAACTTGTTTTCCTACAAGTTTCTTCTACCAACGAATGGTGACTGTCTGCAGTCAAGTGGCTTGGATCGCCCTCCACATCTGATAGAAAGCCAATCTCGTCAGCTGACAGACTCGCCTCTACACCAGGCTTGAGCCCTGATTTGCCCAAGGGTGCTGACCTGCCATCTTCCAGCATGTCATCCTTGGACAACCCCTTGGCCTTCGATAAACTCTTCCTAATCTTCATGCCAGAAAACACAGAACCCTTCGATTCTGACTTTGACTTCTTCTTATTGCTATTTTCTCCCCCTCCTTTGCTCGACTTACTGTGGGACTTTTTGGATTTCTTGTCCACTTCCCTCTCATCAGCATCACCGTCACAGGCCGCATCCCCTGCTGCTCCACCATTTCCCGCTCCTTTCTTCTGCTTTGCCTCCTGGTTCCCCATGTTCCTGAACAAGCGGACACCCTTGGCTAACAGGCCATGTTGCTGGGGTCGAAGCTGCTGGGCATGCTGTGATTCCTCCGGGGCTGCTACTAATGCTGGATCTCTGTTGGTCAGAGCCCTTTCAGAGCTATCTGATCCCTGCTGTCTGCCCACCACAGTTAGAGGCAGCTGTGAGAATGATGCTGCCTCCCCCAGTGCTGCTGATGCTGATGATGAAAGTAGGAGGAGACTGGCACTGACAGCCGCGGGCTCACTACCACTCACTCCCCGCTCTCCCTCCCTCCTCCCCAGCTCATGCTCGCTCACTCTCTGATCCTTCCTCACTTTTTGCTCCTCCTTTCTATCCCCATCTGCTCCTGCACGCTCTGCCGTCTTGCATAACGGGCTGCTTTTTGAGCGAGCAAGGCGTTGATGCTCTGGAGTGCTCGGTCCTTGTCCAATTTCGACCGCAGGGGAAAGAATGGATGCAGGATGCTGCTGCTCTAAAATGCATTGTTGATGCTGCTGTTGTAGATTCAGGAGTGAGTGCTGTTGTTGTTTCCGGAGGATGTTGGTTACACTGCTCTTTCTCCTGCCTTTGAAAGTGGTGGTGAAGAAACTCTCTTTAAGAAAGGGCATTTGGGTCTCCACCGTCTTAATAGTCTGCATGCTGAACACTGTGGCTACATCCAAGGTGGTGAAGATCTAGAGAGGTTAAAGTAAAGAAAAAGGAACAAGTTGAGATCATATTGATGCATTTGATATTTAAGCTTAGCGTTGCATAACAAAAAGAGAAGGCATTCTGTTCAAAACAGTATCATAAAGGTTCAAGATAGGGCCAAGAGGGTGTTAGAAGTCCTTGTGTCTTTTTGCCATAGAGAGTGTACATTTTGTAAAGGTTATTATAGAAAATGTTTTTTCATGCTTCCATTTTTTCTTGGAATTCTTGAAAAAAAAATCCCATCCAGGTCCTTTAACTATAATTTCCATTGCAGGTTTCCACTCCACAATATGTGTCTATTATTACTACCAGACAAAATATGAACGCTAGACTGTGATTAACATTATTCATAATTTACATTAAGCTATGTTTATAATCACTGAACTGATTGGTCTATACATCAACTAGATAATTTAAAGCAACCAGTCTGAAGAAAATTAATCAGAAACTTTTTTGATAACTTTTTTTTTGCTTTTCAATTGTCAATCAAAGGAGCAAAAAGTTTCAGGTTCCAGTTTTTTTAGATTCAAACATCCCATCCATCTTTAATGACAGTGAACCTGATATCTGTCAGCTAAAGGGGCTCAGTTTGTGTGACGCTTCCCTATGTTCTTACATTTGATAGGATAAACAAATTATTATTTCTAGATAGTAATAATGATCCTAATAAAAATAAAACAGTTTGAACTCTTCAATATTTTTTTCAGCAAATTTAAATAGAAATTATTTTGGAATTTTTCTTGACAGAGTAAAGATTGTTCATAAAGATATTACCTTTTCAATGTTCTCATTTAATTTTGTGAATACCTTTTGAAGCTATCAGTGAACAATTCCCTACTAATTCAAGTATCAAGGCAGGAATCAAGGCATGAATGATTATTAATGCCTATGAGTCTATTACAAATGCAGCTAAGCCATTTAACATGTTTTTCACACTTAAGTCAAAAGTAAGCAATTTAATGTACCTCTTTAAATTAAGTGAGGAAACACACACAGAAATAAAGAAATACATTTTAGATATAAGAATCTTACTCAAAAGGAAAAAATGCCAGCTCACAAATCTTTAAAAAGTTTTTTTTGAGCATTTTCATCTGTTCTTGGATAAGTTACACACATTAAGTAATCACACAAAACAGTTGTAGACCAACTAGCTGTATATAACTTTAAATGAAAACAGTGTGGATAAGCCTGCCAGTTAGATTTTTAAAATATATATATACAGTATTATAAAAAACACAGTACTTGCCTGACTGACGGAGTCTCCTCAATGATGCAACACTGACTGAAGAAAACAACACAAATGAGTGCTTGTCTTCTCTTATGAGCCACTCCTTAGCCATGGGTCACATGAAGTTGATATTTTCCTCATCACATGTCTGGTTTTCTTGGCCATCTCCTCTTAACGCTGTCTGAGACTTCCCCTCACTAACTGCATAACTAAATAACTTTGCAACAGTTAAAAAACACATCTGATTTTATTGAGGTCCTGGAGGGAATGAGACGTATTGTGTTCATGCTGTGTAAAACAGTGGTGCAGGGATCTTATTTAAATATTGATTAGTAAAAGGCCTCCACCTTCACACGAGCTATTTGACATTTCATTTCGTTTAGCTTTCCAGTTTGTGTGAACCAGTGTGCCGACTTTTAAAGCCTGCCCTTTAATCAGTTAAATTTGTTTCAGCTGTGTCCTCTCAACATGAGCAGGTACTGATCATGTCAGTGATCCCAATGTATGATAAAAAAACAAACTGCATACATACAGAGCATATAGACAGAAAATAAACATCCCACTGACTAATGTGGGATGCCCCGGGTTCAATCCCTGGCATCTCAACTCCTTTGGGGGTGGAAGTAGCTCAGTCTGTGGGGACTTGGGTTGAGAAACGGGGGTCGCCCGTTCAAGTTCCGGTGCGGACCAAAAGAACATGGAAGTTGGTCTGGTAGAGGTGAGAGGTGCCAGGGCACTTCCTAAGCACTGCCGAGGTACCCTTGAGCAAGGCACCAAACCGCCAAACAGCTCTAGTACGCTCCCTGTGTAGCAGCCCCACTGTGAAATCTCTCCATTAATGCATGTCCACTGGTCCCGTTTGTGCATCTGGGTATTTTGGGGCCTATGTGGGTGAGAAGCATTTCTCTCAATAACGGAGTGTAAACTAGAATTTCCCTCAGGGATAAATAAAGTATGTAAATATAAAATAAAATAAATAAATCAAATATGATGTCTTATCAAAGAGGTAGCTACTCTCAAAACAAAGGAAAGGCCTTTAAATCCAGGGGGTTCTTTCAAGAAGCATTCAATTATTTTGAAGCAGGTTTGGTCAAAACAAACATAACCAAACAATTGTAGCCATGATAATGACAAACAGTGTACACCAGTCTGCCACCTTTGAAATTCACTATTCTTACCTCCAAGATATTGCACAGTTGGACTTTTTATGGCGATTTACTAACTTAAAGCAAAATTGCTTGTCTTTGGTTGATGGCATACAACAGGTGTGAGTGTACAAGTGTCAAATGTAATCAAAGCATTACAACAACAAAAAATATTTATGCTAGGTAAAAATTAAGATATATTATTAATTTAGACAATAATGTAAATAAAACAACGTGACTTGCAACAGGAAAGTTTAAGTCAAGTCAAGTCAGTGTTTTGGCTGTTTATTGACTTCAAATATATAAATGAATATGAATGAATTAAATTTAACAAAGATTAGATTTTGCTTGACAATCGCAATGTGTAAGCACAAAAATCTCATATTATGATGTAAATGTTTTTGAGCTTTAGCACACCGAGTTGAAAGCAGTAAAAATGTCCACTCATGACAGGCAAGGAATTTAAACATTTCTCTTTTTTTCAGCTAATAATATATGCATATGTGTGAAAATACAATGTACTTATTTGTCATTCACCAGTTGTCTACATTTAGTATTTCCACTGCCTTCAAATGTTTGGGCCATGTAGAAGATGGACTTAATAAAAGAACAGCATGATGTGCAATACAAGTTTAATTTAGAATAATATTAACTTTTCTTTGTGTACATGCTTTTCACCCATTTTCTGTAAAGTAAATGAAACAGTGTGAGCAAAAAAAAACCACAGAATTTTAAAATATTGTTTCTTTAATTGCTTTTTTGACTTCATTTTGGCAAAATTGGATAGTGATACTTCAATGCAAAAGTTGGACTTACATCAATATAGCCCTGACAACAGGTCTTTCTAAAGCCACTAGAGGCTGCCATTGCTCTACCAAAGATGGTGTCCTTTTACAAAGAGCTCCACAGATGTACAGTATCATTTTTTAGAAATGGAAAAGGTATTGTAAAATCAAAACACACATCTTTATAAATGGACATATTTATGTGTGCAATAAATCATTGTGTATCAAGTCAGAAATATCCAAATGTACACAAAGAGAATATCATCATCGTATAATCATAACTTGTGACAGAGAATTGCAAGTACATAAAAACACAACCAATGTACTTTTTGTCTCCACCATAAAAACCACAAGAATTACATTGAACACAACAGCAGTTCACTAACCGTGGTGCCACAAAAATATTCACAACTCAGATCATCAGAAGATTCATTTTCAGACTGGCTCAAAATCTCAGGAATATCTAGAAAACCAAAGATGAATATCACAAAAATAACAGATCTCTGTTGACTGGAAGTAAGGACACAATTTAAGAACTTTTTTTTCATATTCAATCAGACACAGGAAAGCTATATCCACGTAAAAAGGCAATTTACAGAAGTTCTGATAAAAACAAATGCCAGTCAAGAGGATGGCATGTCAAATCAGTACAATGAAGAAGCCTAGGAAAAAAATAATTTTCTGTCTTGGATTTCAGTAACGTTTTACAGATACACTGTTTTGTTTGAAATGCAAAACCACTCTGCACATTACAGATCTAGCTACCCACAGAGAGAAATGATAAGAAATGTGAATCCCCCATCCCCTGACAAAGATATCCTCTACTCTTTTGTCAATTGCACTTCAATAGTTCCCCTGCAAAGCCCTTTTCTATCATTTACCACTCAGTTCATTTTCTCCTAGCTGTACCTGCATGTAATGGTAAACACTTCTTCAAGGACAGAGGGACAGTTTTCATCTCTGGACCCCACCTAATACAACCTTTTACGCACACACACAGCTTTGCTAAATGCACAAACACATACCTCAAGACCACCACAAAGGATTCCTCTGCTTGACATACCAGTATAGAAATACATCAAGAATTTCTAAGCAAAGAAACTCCACATAAACATCAATAAGGTTGTCCCTCCTTTTCCTTGTCCTATGTTTAATCTTTAGATCTTGTGTTAGCAACAGTCCAGACTTTAAGTCCTTTACGTGGACTCCCTGGGGATCCTTTTATGGAAGACCACTGACTGCCTCTGCTGGAACTGCAGCTTCCTCCTTTTTTTCTGATCCCAGCGACACATCAGTATCATCTTAAAAGTTGTACGGAAAGTCTTGTTGCACAAAGCATAGCACATTGGGTTAACTGTGCTGTTGACGTAGCACAACCAGTACCCTACTTCCCAGAGGGTTTCTGGTATACACTCTTTGCAGAAGGCATTGATCAACACCATGATGTTGTAAGGTGTCCATGTGATGATGAAAGCAAAGAGGATGGCACTGAGAGTTTGAGCAGCCTTCTTCTCCTTCACTAAGGACATACGCTTCCTCTTTGTGATCTGTGTTCGAGCCCGGGCAGCAAAGCGCTTTGCCAGAGCTGCCTCTTTGAAAGACATTGGGACAGAGGGAGATTTAGTAGCGGTGCTGGTGGTAGTACTGTCAGTGGTATTGGTAGTAGTTGTTTGGGGACCATCCAGAGAGCCTTTGTTAGAGTTAGACTGGATGGTAGGCATTGACTGAATCTTGCGTGAGCAGAAGCGTTGGTGATAGTTATTTTCTAAACTGTTTGTTCCCTCACTATCGGGAGTTTCAGCAGTGGTGTTGGTGGTGAGAGTTGAGATGCTGTCCCGGTTATACTCTGCTCCCCTGAGAGGATCCTCCTCTGAGGCTGCATCCAGATCTTCACATGATGTAAGTTGAGAATTTACAGCAGCTTTTATACCAGGTAGGCTGAGAACAATAGAGAAAATAGCATGACTCTGTGAAATCATCTCTCTGCCCCCACAGTCCTCATCTTCTGAAGACCCAGATTGGTCCAATGACACTGCTGCATCAATGTTGTTCCAGCTGTCGCTGCTGCTCTGGTCTGGATCACGCTCGCCCTGCCGGATACTGCCTGGTCTCCAAGAACGTACGCCAGGCCAGCAGTGGAAGCGGCCAACCAGGTCCCGACATGTGCTCCTTCTCCTGGACAACCTGGTCAGTTCGTAGCTGCTACAACTTCTAGAGCTTCCTGTCTGGTGGACAAAACGGGCTTTGCCTCCCCCACCATTCCCACTTCTGCCTACTATCCCACCACGGACCCCTGAACCTTGCAACCCAGCTAACTCTTTTGAACGGTTCTGGGTCTCCTTGTAAATGCGCCAGTAGAGAACACTCATTATTGTCACAGGCAAGTAGAAAGCTGCAATTGCTGTGCAGAAGGTGATAGTGGGCTCGGTGAGGAACTGGATGTAGCATTGATTTGGGGGTACTGTCCTTTCACCCTCAAAATACTGCCAAAGTAGGATGGCTGGCGCCCACAGAATAAGAGAAACAAACCAGGCTAGGCCTATCATGATCCCAGCTCTCTTCGTGGTTCGCTTGGCACGGTAAGTCAAAGGCCTTGTGATCGAAAAGTAGCGATCAAAGCTGATGACCAATAAGTTCATAACTGATGCATTACTGGCCACATAGTCTATGGCTAGCCACAGGTCACAGGCCCAGTTGCCCATGGCCCAGTAACCCATGACAAGATATGCTGTGTAGAGGTTCATGGAGATGACCCCAATGATGAGGTCAGCCACAGCTAAACTCAGCAGGAAGTAGTTATTGACTGTCTTTAGCTGGCGATTAACTTTGAAGGAAACCACTACCAGGATATTTCCGATGATGGTAACCAGTGACAACATGCCCGTAAGCAAGACAATAAGAACAACCTGCCAAACATGTCCACCGCCCAGGGAATCAGGGGCCACAGTTCTGTTCCCATTTTGTGAGTCTAAAGTCAGGTTTAAAAGTTTGCTGGTGGAAGTTAAATTATCATCCAGAGAATTCACATGAAAAACCAACCAGGGGCCACTGCCAGTTCCTCCTTGGTGGAGAGCATTGGATTGTGGGTAGGCTCCGCCTGCTGGGGTTGAAGAGTTTGCAGTCAGGAAGAGACCGGGGTCTGTGCTGTTTGAGCTCATTGTTAAGTCCTGGCATATTCTAGAGAGAGGACAGAAAGGCAGAGCGATAGGGTAGAAAGGGAAAGACAGGGGGAGGGAAGAGGGACTTGGCACAGAAGGAGAAAGAATGGGGGGGGAAGGATAGAGTGAGAGAGAGAAATTAAGAAAGGACACATTAATACAAATAATTGACATTCCTATTCATATCCAGTAGGTGATGCTAGAAACCTATTCTACAAAGCAGGGTCAGTGGGAAGACACAGATGATTGGGTCTAATTGTTCTATCCTGTTTGACAATCACTGATAACTCAATTTGTAAATCCTCTGTTTCCTCGCTGTAAATGCATTGCTTGCCATATAGAAAAATTGTAACATTGTAACATTTGAATCAGCTGGATGACTGCAGATGACGCTTGTTTCTGAACACCCAGCCAATTGCAAAGGCATTTCTTTTTTTTTTTATCATAAGTGTGGGGATTGCCACTTAAATGACATTAAGCCTTGGACATGTTTTTCACTTGTCAGATCAGTGGTGCGGTAAAACTGGTGGTCAAAATTAAACTTCTTTGTAGGTGTCAGCTCTTGCTTTATTTCTTCTGTCCGTTGAATAGTTTTCTTGTGATAGGACTATGTTTTGTGATTATATTTTGTAAGCTTTGTTCATTGATTTTTCTAAACTATGACAATAAGGAAAAACACATTCATTCACTAAGCCAAAGCCTGAAATAGGACACTTAGAAAAAGTCTGGCTACATATACTATAGGCTAAACCATAAAGAACTCATCTTTAAGTATTAACCTACACAAAGCACAGGTAAATGAACTCAATAAGCTCTTCAAGACCTATGATAATTTTCAGGATACAGATTCCTAATTATTTTTTTCAATATAAGCAATGTTGCAGACAGGTTTTAAGGCAGGGAAATCTACCTAAGGGCAAAATCTAATGGTGAAATTGAGAGAAAATCACACTGCAAGAGCTAACCGGAGCATGATTCTGTTGACTATGAGGTGCAGTTTGGTATTTGATTGGAGATTGTGACAGAAACACTGACAACAAACAGAACATCCTGCTGTTTTTGTCAAAGCAGTTCTTGATAATTGGATAATGACATCAGGAACTGCCATTTTGTAAAGCAGCATGTGTGATTCAATTCAGGTTTTGCTGTGCAATCATTACTAATTACTGTGGGCTTTTGCATTTGCATGTATATATTTGGGTTTGTGTTGACACACATGAAAATGCCTGTCAACAAATTAAGTCAAGTGAGAAACACAAAGATAAAAAACTAATATGTGGAATATTATGAAAATCGACTAATTATGATGACATGGATGTAGCTCAGTCACTTATATTCACATTGCAGCAAATTAAAAGGTGAATGTTTACACGAGTGCTGTCGTTTTTCAAGATCTGTTCAGGATGATATTATGATGTACTTTTCTTTATGTTAGGAAACTGTTAAGTATCACTTTCAAATATGACAAAAAACTGATTGATTCATTTAAGATCAACTGTGGTTGATATAACAAAGTGCAGCACAAGACCTTGGGCTCTCTTTTATTGTGAAATCCATGAACATGGTGTTCTACCGTTAAGGTTTACGACACAATTCATTTTAAACCTGTCACCAACCTGAGCCAGCAAATGTGAAGGGGAGCAAATAATGAGCTGTTACCACGGACAACAAGTACAAATATCTTACACCGCATACACAAATGTACTAACAAATACATGTGCTGACCACCAAATGTGACCCAAGTAAAACAACAATTTCATATTTCACTATTTCATCCAACAGAAGGTATTTTGGGGCACCTGATTCTGATGTTGCATGGAGCTATTAAAGAACCCATGTAGCCAGAAGCAATCCACAAAGTTTGTGACAGCAAGCAAACGCTACCACTGCAGTTATCAGGAGGTTCACTGCTATCCCTACTGGACACTTCACTGGATCCATGCAACACAGTAAGAGTTTGCTTGCACACATGCATTACTTTGTTAAATAAGCATGCACATACTTCCATCCTTCACTGCATCTTATCTGCACTGAATCATAATGTACATGCACACAAACAAACATTTTAAAAGGACATTACAACTTCATTGCAATGAAGTAGAGTATGTGAGAAACAAAACAAAGTGTAGATTATTACAAAAGATCAATCTTCAGATGTCTGTATAACAATAACTTCTCTATTCAGCTAACTGAAAAACCTCTTTCAAATACAAAGCCTAATTGTAGCTTTTGATAAAGCAAATTCTTTTGAGCATATGAGGTAGCAATGTGTTGCCAACAAGTGTTTAACAGCTTTTAACTAGGTTATGAGAACAAAATGTGCCTGTGTAAAGAAAACAGAAGTGGAATCATTTTAATCTGCTCCTTTGACTAGTTATAAAAAGAGAGGTTTGCTAAATGAAATTAGAAAATCAAACAATGGAATTCAAATCAGACAAAGTAAAGAACAGTTTTTAGCTTTTAGTATTTTCATTAGTTTTTGTCTTATCTCTCTCCTATGCTTTCCAGGTGCTGCTCTCAGCCTCAGTGCAGCAAGTATTTAATCGAACTATGTTCACTTTCCAATCAGGTGCTGAGTATAAAGAGCAGGAGAAACATGGCAGCCAATGCCGATGTGTCATTCAACCCCTTCAACATCACTTTACACTAGTGCTTACTTATGGAGCTATTATTGTGGCAAAATTATTTGAAAATACTTACACATATCCCCAAATGAGTGTACATTTGTGGCTCTATTCACGCATTTGTGGATCTGTGTACGCATTTAATATATTCAAATAGTTTTATCACAATAATAGCTCCATACTTACTCTTTTTGGCAGGAAGGGTATCTTTTCCCGAACCTTAAAGTTGTGTTGTTGTTGTTGTTGTTGTTGTTGTCGTTGTTGTTTGGTTAATATTGTTTTACTTTTAAAGATCAGCTTATCTGTTGTCTGTGATATTGACAGAAACACACACAGAAGATGAAGAAAATAAAAAGCATCAGGAGTGAGCAGACGACCACGACCGAGCAGCGACCGAGCAAGTACCGGCAAAACAAAAACACACTAAGTAAACTTTGTCGGAGTCACTCAGCGAGAAGGGCAACAGATGGCAAGAAATAACAAACACCATCACTAATTACATTGCAAAGGGTATGATTACACATCAAGAGAGATGGAACTTGAACCCTAGATACAACCTGCCAAGCCATAGTTCTCTAGTCTTTTTAAAACACTATTGAGGGATGCAAAATATCGTCAATTATCATTATCGTCGAAATCCCCCAAAATATCGAGATATTCTTTTTTGTCAATAACACACCACTAGTTAAGAAATCCCTCGTGTGGAATAAACTGTCTACAACAAACAACAAACAAAATAATGTCAGCAACACTAAAGGAGATAAATATGCTTGTCTTGTCAGAGTTCTGTCAAACATTGTGTATATGTAAATATGTGTCTATATATGTGTGCTGTTTATTCACGACTCAATTTTCCTGCACAAGATTGACTTAAACCACAGTGAAAATATTTACAGTAAACATGGAACAGCTAAGCCTAGCTGTAGCCTCATACCGCAATGCTTAATGACCATACATTTACATGTGTAGTCCTCTGAGAGCAGAAACTGGCAGCACAACAGAGGAAGAGTGGCTTTTGTTTTGTTTGTTTTCCCTTCAAAATGTAACTGATCAAGCCATTTTCAGATGAAATCTGTATGCAGCAGATGACAACATGCTTTTCCAACATGGGTGGCCTAGGTCAACCTCTGACAACCAGCTTTTTACGATGGAGCCATTGCATTGTCCATCTGCCTCTCTTAGTCCGCTCTGAACACTATATCTTAAATCTGACTCCCAGGCACGTAGGTGTGATGGTTTCAAAGAGAGATCGATACTCATTTACTGTGTAGCAACACAACGCGTTCCCTGACAATTTGAGGCATTTGTCCCAGCAGGGTTGGACAGCACAATCCAAGTTGGGTCCAAGCAGCCATCTAAATGATTTGGTGCCTCATGCATGGCCATTTAAGGTTTCTATTTTCAGCCACTAATCTAGCAAAGCAACGATAGAGCCAAATGATGTCCAGGAAGGATGAGTTATATGGTCAAGTGCTTCAAGTAAAGGTTAAAGCTGCTATAATTCGAATCTTGGTCACTTTAACTTTGTGTCGCATACCTTCAGATATTGTAGATGTAGAAAATGGAGGTTAAATACAAATATGTTTATTTAAAGAAAAAATAATATAGTTAAATGAGATGTAACTCTGACACCTAGCATTTAAAATGGGTACTGTGGTTACATTTGAATACATTGGAGAGAGCTCCCCATGCCTCCTCCTCTCTAGAGCTTTTTTGTGATAATTTTGTATTTATAAATGTACAAAGAAATTACATAATATATTACAACTGTTTTCCCCTTTACCTCCCCCCACCCCCCTAGAGCACATACATGTATAAAAGTGCATTTGTACAAACATCAGGACCAATCAAACTTCCAAACCTTCCCCCCACCCCCATCCACCCCATGGCGACCCCTCCTCCCTAGAGCTGATGTGCTCGCAGGTTGCCATGTCACGGACACTGAAGCTTCAGTATTTAGCCAGCTCTGCATCAGTTATAAAAACCTTTCTGCTTTCTAACCTCTCTCCATTTTTCCAAAGCCTTTTCAACATTCATCCTGGTTTTACCACACTGGCCGTGGAGCTTATTAGAAAATGTTGAGGCTGTTTGTTCGGGGAATAGAATCAGTTATATCTGAATTGGTTTTGCCTGCCCGCTTTCATTGCTGCAACACCTAAAACCACCTATACTTCTCTGGTCAAAACAACGGAACGGAAACTTAGAAGGAGGACATATTTATTGGTTGCTGCCTTGTTGACAGAGAAGCCAGCATTTCAACAGATCATGTTTCCTTAATGTCTAATGATCATGATATGGTAAGGTAAAATTATCATTTAAATCAGAAGATATCTTACATATTAGACATCTTGTAACTTTGCTGTTGTGCCTTATGTATTGTGTACTTTTGTGCTGG